GAGGACAGATGTTATCGAGCAATCAAGTAGGGCAAAGCTTTTGATTGCGACATTCAGCTCCTAAAATGCATACGATTACAAAATACATAACGACTAACGAGTAAATTACATTCCCATTCGATTAACCAACATCAACATAGAATTTTAATCTCCAATAAAGTTGTCGATGAACACAACCCCTCTAATAACATTGTCGGATAGAGACGTGATGCCGAATGTAGACGCAATGCCAGTTTATTCGACAGAACCCTCGTGTTACATAAATTAAAGTGATCGTGTGCAGAGTTCACAATTTATGAGCTAAACAAGGTTGCCCTAACATTAAATAATGTTGTATATTGAATGTGCATGAGTTCCTTGTAGCGTACGGATTACATCAGGTTAAACGAAGGTTAATTGCATTCAGAATAGCCATTTGTGGTTGGCAAAAAACTAGACGTTAACTCCTTGTAATTACAACTGGTTTAACATTTTAAGCTATCCTTAGATCTAAATCCAGCGATGACGCGGGTTCATGATGAATCTCTACTGTGGTTACTTTTTGCTGAATACAAGTTTTTATTGCAGCTATACGAAGCTTCTTTGTCTCACACAAATCACTGCACTACCCATAAAACTCTCGTATGAGCGAATAATAACAGGTTGCTCTACACCTTAATAAAATTGGTCTTCAACATACCTATCTGCTGTTTTGCTGAGGAAAGATTCAAAATACAAAAACCATTCAACGTAAAAGGTTAAGTCCCTCCAGCGCTACAAAGTTGACCTTTCCCATAGACTCACATGTTTATAAATGTTTTACCGTTGAAAAGCCTATTTTATAATAGCTGTTTACTTTAGGAGCAATCTGCGGGCCAGTGGAACTGACAACCTGGGATGTCAGCGGCGGACACTGTTTGTTTAGTCTCTGGTGACACAGCTTGTTAGTGCTGGCTAACTGAATTTAATACTAGCCACATAAAACAAACGTTTACGTGACGGAGGGTGTGAGGAGGATATTTGAATCCTGCGGTAGATAAAACCACAAATAAATCAAATCACCTAAATTTGATAGTAAGCAAGCAAGCGATAATAGCTCTCAATTATGTGTCTGGACGCATGTGTCGAAATATTTTCAAGAAAATCTGGTTAGGACCAAAAAAACAGTACTCGATGACGTTATCAAAATACAGACTTATACAATTTTAACAGCAACTCGACTTACTTTCGAAAATGTAGAGTATTTTGATTAATCTCACTCACCCCATAAGGAAACTTGATTTAATAATGGGGTTTTCTCTTACCCGTTAGAATCGATAATTTGTTTACATTATCGTCTGATGTTAGATAATCATGAGCTTCATTATTTTCTTGCCCCTTGAATAGACAGCTTGTCGGCGAAGTGGAAGCAGGCATACGAGTTAACCTTAACTTACGGTTCATCAAACTATGATTAAGCAACTAATCATGGAATGTTCTAAAGATGCTAATATAATCAGGAAAAATTGACTAATTTTATTCAATACTCTTATATCTCCTAGAAGAAAATAATAATGTTGTGTTCTGTTGTTTTGGTTTAACGCAGGACACCTTTCTAGAAACTGAATAATTTATAAACTAGAAAACAAGTATTGGAAGACGACAGTCTTGAATTTGTCATTAGCTCTCACTATTTTATTCAATCGGTTCAGGTAGCTAAATAAATTTAAGATGAAATCTTTTCTTTTTACTATTGGGATCAAACGTAAACGGAGTTGAAGAAACTCCAGATAAAAATAAAAACAGAAGATAATGTAAATATTTAGATGTACGAGGCTCACAGCTGCCTTTTGAAGTGAATAAATTTCGTTTAATATTAGCTACGGCACAGTTGAGCAGACAAACCGATTAGTTTTATGGACAAAACTAAATAAATGAGTTCGTCTAGTGAAAACCATACTGGGTAAGAATAAACATTAAATATAGCGTCGACGGTCGATGAAAACCTAGCGAAAACAATATATTTCAAGATTTTATTTCTCAAGTAGGTAATTAGTTTTGACTTTGAGTCCCTGAGTAGAGCTAAACAGTAGATAGACCCTACAGCTTGTATTACCTACTTACAGGAATTTTTGAAAAGCTCTTAACAACTCTGCTATGTGTTGTCCAACGACATTAATCGGCCGATGCATGAATTGTATCTTTATTTGGAACATAAAACGCTGAGGTTTAAACGTTTCAATGCATTGAAAGCGTTAACCCACTTAACTCGGCAATATTTCTCTTGCGATACGGTAGATGCCATCGCCAAATCGGAATCCGAGCCGTATTCGATGGAGACCAGCCAAATACCTATTCTTCGGCATAATAACCAACTTGTTGTTTGGCCTTTACCCCTATTTTGTTAATACATGGCATACAAAATAACATCCTTCATCTGTGTCCTCGAATACTACGGAACAGTTGAATGCGGTCAAATAAACTGCTTTGGTTGGAAATATCCCATTTTCTAATATTCTTTATTACTTAAAAGTTCAAACAATTGTACCTACTCTCTTAAGATTATTTAGTATATCGCTTACTAAAGAGAATACCGATAAATTGTGCCCTACCAAATTTTGCATTTCTTATTGTCAGTTTTTGTGTGATGGTAATAAAGAGTTTAAATAGGCTGGTAATTTGACCAGGCTCGTCTAACGTTAAGTTTAGATTCACTAACTATACTTACGTGTATAGATTCACCTATTTATCTCGCCATAAACTTATTTTGGTCATTTATGACTTGGATGTCCGTCGTTCTATATTTACGGATTTACGATAGTGCGGTTGAACGGCCCAATAAATGTCGTTTCGTTGCCTTTATAAATAAGGAAAACTTCTAAAACTGAAGATGATCAGCTAATGACACTTGCCTTGACCCGATAAACCCATAAAATAACAAACAATAACAACATTGGCACCAATGTGAAAACATAGTTCCAATTGTTTCCAATGTGTGAACAGATCTAGTTGATCCATTTATTGAATTTTCATCAGCGAAACCGCAGCAAACGTGCCTCTCACCAACCGCAGCTTATTCAGAATACCAAACAAAGGCTTATTCTTATTTGTATTTTCAATGTCGCCTCTGGTAGAAACTTACTCAATTGGGAAATGGCGTACACTCGCACACTTACAATGCCGCGGAGTCAAACGTGTACAATACAAACTTGTTATTTCGACCAAGATGCTACAGATCGGCAGAATATTCAAGTAGCTGCTTACTTGCGCAATTTGAAGGCAGTGCACGATGAGACTCTCATACAAATTGTCTTGTAAAACTGACTTAATTAAGGCTTGATCAGTATTCAATTCAATTAGTGAAGTTTAACTTCTTTAGGTACTGCGTCTTTTGATTGTAGGTAATAATTACCCGGATAAAAACTTTTTTTTCAGGCATTTTATTTTGCAACATCATAAGAGATGGAAATCTAGTCATTTTAGCTGTGGTGTTTTATGTGGCCATTAAGCTTTCTTTGCTATACGTATAAATCTTTCTTATAGCTCAGTCATAAAATTTAAGTGTATTTAAACCATAGCATGATATCTTTCGATTTGTTTATATGGCTGTGTTGATACTTATATCTATTGACGAACTTTCTTCTTGCACTCTATTGTTCGTTCGTTTCTTTTTATAAATTAAATCGCTTCCATTTAGCCTTTCATAAATATAATCGTCACTCGTTAAACTTTGATTTCAAAGTCTTTCCCTCATTTATTCAAGTTGAAACGCACTTAAGAAACTTTCTTCGCTTTGTTGTTGCGTTCTGTTTCTGATTGATGGTGATTGTTTGGGCAACGTCAAGAGCATCTGATACATCGATACTTTAACTCGATGAAGCCGACCGGCTCGCAACTCGAGTGGCTCACGAGAGTCCGAGACCTTCGCCATGGCCTTTCTAATTTGTTTAATTTATCGGCTGGCCCGTTGTTCGGTAAAAATAAACCGTGTGATTAATACGCGGTGGGTGCGCAGACGGCGCGTCGCGGCTCCATACCATGACAAATTGAACGCTAACTAAGCCTTCATACAATATGTCTACGCCTACGTGCCATACACGAATAGATCGGATGTTATGCCCCCTAGCGAATCTCGGGCCGATGACCCCGTATCGCGGATCCCTCAGCAGGGAATCGCAGACGATATTTTAAGCAGTGTTCTCGTTTTGCACACGTTATTCGGCTTTCTTCAGCGCCAGCGCCACTTTCCCCACATTCGATTGCTTATCGTAAAACAATAAATGAACACCGATAAAGCTATCGGTGACCCACGATTCGTGTCCATACAATCAGTATTATCTGTCCTGATATCTTTGAAAGCATTGTAAATACGAAATACGTACTTAGTTACGAAATTGTTTATTATTTTCCTTTATTGTCCCATCCTAATCATTAATATTCAATGCCATTGTTTGGTTTTTATCGATTTCAAAATACAGCGGATAGCTGGGAAGGTGACGTGGGTGCATAGTTTTTATCATAGGCCACATTAAATCAAGTGTTTGATTGCGGCATGAATGGCGAGGCCGGCGGGACGCCAGCGAGCCATGGGAACGGCGCATTGTGCCATTCTCCACTCATCAGAGAAACGTTGCCTTGCAATAAAGTCTATAGGTTTTTTCTCATTGTTACTAGTTTCACTACTTGTTATTCTAAAGAGCAGCTTTTTATTGGTACTGCGATTAAACCGGTTTTATGTTGCGGAATGCTTTCTGCGAAGAATTTACGTTTCAACATGCAGTTCCAGAGAAGCGAATGCAAATAGACATGCTTATTTATGTAACTTACAGTTATACGGACTACATTTTATAATTGAACATGAATATAATGATAGGCGACATCCGGCACAATAGAAGTTAACTCCCTGGAGATTGCAGCGAGCCTCGCGGTCCGAGGACTGCTCGCTCACAATGAACATTTTGCGAACAATGGAACTGCATCGCCCTGATTATTTAGCTCCAAGCCGTTAATTTATTATTAACTCTACCATTTTATTGTTCCAGAACATGTGACGCAAAAACGCAAGATGGAAGAGGAAAGTACTACTTGCGCCGGAGACACCTGCGACTCACCCCCGGTTGAATCCCAGGTTAACGAGACTGAGCCTGATGTGCAACAGCCAGATGAAATTAAAAAAGAAGATCCAGTTGCTAGCGATAACGTAAACGTAAATGATAAGAATGAAAGTGGAAATAGCAAAGATGAAAGTGGCGTAGTACTCGACGGTTCAGAAGAGAAAAATGTAACCATAGATGTAAAGGAATCTTTTGTTGAACATGAGCCATGTGAAGGAAATGATGACGTGCGCTCACTCGGTGATCTGGACAGCCTGCCCGCGGGTGACGAGATGGCGCTGGGCGCTGCGGGCAGCGACAGTGGAGTAGAGGGGTGCGGTCGCGCTCTCAGCAGCGGCGGAGGGTCGCGATCATGCGCCTCCAGTGTCGTCTCCTGCGGGTCCGGCTGTGGCTCCGAGAGCTCGTCCATAGCCGGCGCCCCGCCGCGGCCACGACGCCGCGTCAACGTTACCGTAGCAGAACCAAAACGCAGTTCCCCCTTAGGATCGTCGACTCCGCGCCCGGTCACCGCGCCGCGAGGTCCCAACCTAGCCACCAGAGAACGAGCCCGAAGTCGAGAGAAACCCACACCGCCTGAAAAGCCCCGACCCCTAACTCCGAAGCCGCGAATCCGTCCTACCGGCGACTTGCCCAATCTCGTCCGCGAGAGCCCCGCGTTACGTGCCAAACCGACCAAAACCTCCACAGCCAGATGCCGCACCCCGAATTCGCCAAGCGAAGAGAAGAGGTGGCCGGCGAACGGGCCGCGGTTGACGACTGTCACGGACGCGAGTGCAGCGCGAGTGGCGGCAGACAAGTACGCGACTCTTCCTCGGCGGAGAAAAGAGGCTGACACAGATGGGTCGCCTAAGCACGAGAGCACTCCGCCTACTTCCAGGAGGCCGACGGTGACGCGGTCGGCGTCCTCGCGGTCGACAATCAAGACTCGCGTGCGAATTTACGCCGAGAAAACCTCACAGACTGTGCTGCTCGGGACCGATGTTGAATCGGCTCTAGCGGGAATAGTGCCAAATATTGAAAAGTGAGTATTTAAAGAGAGGGTCTAATATTGTCGATATCATCATCATTTCTTCTTGAACATATCAACCTTATTAAATGCACGATGTCTGTTAGAGGTAAGATCTAGCCAGATCCTCAGTGGTTGACTTGAGAATTCCGGGTGAAGCTCGCTTCTTAACGCTAACTTTCCTTCTTCTGCCTGATCATCACTTACCATCATGTGTTGCTTCCTCGTTGTGGATAAAAAAAAATGTCCATTCAAGAATCTACGCTTCTCTGTGACTTGTCAATTTCCTTCTTCGTGGCCCCATAGCAATGGCGAATGTTGCCTTGCTGATTCGAAATCCATCACACATTGTAAATATTTCTCCAGCCACGTAGAAGTAACCCGGTGCCATCGAGGCGTGCAGGCGAGCGCGCGAGACGTGGAGGCGGCGCGGCTGGCGGCGGCGGCGGCGGCGGCGGAGGCGGCGGCGGCGGCGGAGCGAGAGCGCCGGGAACACGCGGAGGCGCAGTTGGCTGCTGAGCGAGCCGCGCGTCTTGCCGCCATTGCTGAGCTGGAGCGCAACTCGCAACGGCTGCTGGAATTGGCTGGCGCTGGTAAGTTAAAAAAAACCTATAATTTCAAGACAACACTTTTTTTTCCCTTAAAACCACAACTTTTCTATTACCGTAATTTTACAGTATGCTATGCATAGAGATATAGAGAGATGCCAACTAATGCGCTGAGATCGATACTCAGTGTCGAATTCACACACACAAAGTAATTAAAATATGTGTTCATTATCGTTCGAATAATCTTTAGTACTACGCAAGCAATGTAAACTGTTTACATTATTATGACGTCGCTGCTGTCAAGATTGCTGTCACGAGCAATGTGTTCAGCACCCCTAGACAAAACGCACTTTTTGATCGAATCGAAAATCGAATCCGTCAAAACTCCATACAAAAAAGGGGCTTTTCGACCACTTTTCGACTGGTTTGCGATTATAATTTGCACTTTGTCTAGACCCACTGTTTTTGGGCATATTGCTGAGACATCGGCCCCGCCCCCTTGTCACATCTCCCTTTAGTTTCTGTGATCTGTGATGCTATGGAAGCCGCGCAAAGTGAAATGATCCTTCGGTCAAAAGTTTAGTTTCACGGCAGGCAATGGAAGTTCCAAAGCATTTGCCAATAGGGACTGCCTAATTATCCAACTTGTTTTGCTAAAAATCTTTTACCAAAAATAGAAATACCGCGAGCACCGGAAATAAACAGTTATTGCCTTATTGCGCACAGGCAACCATAAAAAGTCCATAAAAACTTACATTTTGTGAACAAAAAAGTTTGCAAATATCAAGTGTTTGAGTTGCGTTACATTGCGTGAGACTACATTAGTGACAGTATTATTATTATTAGAGATGGGTTATACTAGGTAAATTTGATACTAGGTGCACCTATTCCAAGTATTTATTAATACTTGATCCAAATACCTATTCCACCTAGTACGTAGTAATTATACCATACTTGACGCGACTAGTGCGGACTAATCCACGTATTATGACTTTAAAATACAATTTTCTTTGAAAAGATACAACCGTAGTAGCTATTAATAATGCAATTTGAAATTGAATAATAATGTTTTTGCTGGCTGTTGATTTATTGATATCCTCCCTTCATACTTCAACAGGCTATTCCTATCTCACACCTGCCTGCGCTCAAATTTGTTTGTCAGACAGAGACGGAATGAATCTCTACGTTCGCACATAAGTTTAGCGAGAAATACGCGGTGCGCGTAATACACGACTACGGATTATGCAATAATAACCTCTATTACTTTGATGGTAGGGTCGGAAATCGTGTAATTTAAAAAATACTAGGTGGACGACTACGGATTATGCAATAATAACCTCTATTACTTTGATGGTAGGGTCGGAAATCGTGTAATTTAAAAAATACTAGGTGGATCAAGTATTTTAAAAATTGGAATAGGTGCAACTTAGTACTGTAAAATACCTAGTGTGTGGATCTGTTCTAGTAAATACGTCTCATGTCTAATTATTATTATTTGACTTAGGGTGGATTCGACCAAACAAGAGTAAATATTATCTCAGAATAAATCGTCACTATGGGCGGGGCACATAGCTCGTAGAGACGATGGCCGTTGGGGCAGAAAAGTTCTTGAGTGGCGACCACGGGCTGGAAGACTTAGCGTGGGCAGGCCTCCTACCAGGTGGACCGACGATCTGATAAAGGTCGCGGGAAGAGCCTGGATGCGGGCAGCGCAGGACCGTGCATTGTGGAAAACCTTCGAGGAGGCCTTTGTCCAGCAGTGGACGTCATTTGGCTGAAACGAACGAACGAACGAAATCGTCACTATGACATATTTCCCATACTGAAATTGTCAACGTGCCAGTTATACCAGGAGTTATTCTCGGCTTATACTAAAAGTTTGGTCGAATCGGGCCTTAAAAGTTTGTGTTTTGTTTCCAGGTGCAGGCGCCGGCGCCGACGGCTGCTTGCGAGCGCTGGAGGAGCAGCTGCGGTCGGCCGGCGAGCTGTCCGCGCGGCAACGCTCCGAGATCGACTCCTTAAGGGCGCTTTGTGATAAATTACATGTAGTAAGTACCAGTTGTAATCAGTCATAATAACGTACGAAACGGAGACGTGTCCCCTTGCTATGGACCTCATAAGATGGTTCAAGGTCACCCAATAGGTGACCTTTAGACTTTTTTCTTTTTAGGGTAGTGTGATCGAATCAGAAATTAAGAAATCCGTAAAGCTTCAGCCAAACCAACGGGTGCAGAATCTAATCGCGTCGGCGATGGCGATTGGTTTGGCTGAAGCTTAGGTCAATCAAAATAACTGACACAGTCGGGACAGAGCTCATAATACTGATGGACGTTGGGACAGAAAAGTTCTCGAGTGGCGACTACGGACTGAAAATCATAACGTGGAAACCCAGGTTCTTGTGACGGTCGCAGGAATACTTGCTTTACTTTAGGGGAGAGGTGTCCTTTCTTCAGCAGTGGACGTCCTTGAGCTAAAATCAGGATGACTCACGTTGAAATAGATGATAATTTTTTCATGATTTTTTTTCTTTTCTTGCGTAGGAAGCTCGCGGTGCGCGCGAATCGGCTAGATCTCTAGAGGCGCGCTTAGCGGAGGCCGAGCGCGAGGCAGCCGAGATGCAGGACTTCCTAGCGGCCGAGACCGCGGCCTTAGGAGACTCGCTGCGGGAGGCTGATGCGGAGATAGCGCGCCTCTCCGCAGACCTGGACAGAAGGTAACTACTTATCCTTGTAGTAGGTAATACTTAGCGGAGGCCGAGCGCGAGGCAGCCGAGATGCAGGACTTCCTCGCGGCCGAGACCGCGGCCTTAGGGGATTCACTGCGGGAGGCTGATGCGGAGATAGCGCGCCTCTCCGCAGACCTGGACAGAAGATAACTGTTGCTTGTAGTTGGTACTGCTAGCGGAGGCCGAGCGCGAGGCAGCCGAGATGCAGGACTTCCTCGCGGCCGAGACCGCGGCCTTAGGAGACTCGCTGCGGGAAGCCGACGCGGAGATAGCGCGCCTCTCCGCAGACCTGGACAGAAGGTAACTGTTACTTGTAGTTTGTATTGCTGGCAAATATTGTCTACTGTTGGCATTTGGTAGAGCATGCTTCTTGGAAGTGAACACACAAAGCACGAATTCCCGTTTCCCCATTTTATACAGCCAACCGCTGCTATAGTCCGATAGTCGAGCACGTAGAATTTCGTCCAATGTCCCCAAGCTACCCATCCTTATCGCTCGCGCGTAGTTATATTGCTGTCGCGCTCGCACACTCACTGGAGCCACCCGTCGCTCAGTCGCGACAGCAATATTGGCAAAATAATCACGCGAGAGCGATAAGGACGGGTAGTGTACGAGCACGATCGTACATCCTGCTGCACCGTCAGCATCGACCGCCGGGCGACCCATGAACCCTCAACGTGCACCGTCGGCACTCTACACCGACGGCACACTAGCAAATACGTTTCATTGTGTACAGTAAATAACTTATGTATAAATAGCAATAGAATCATAACAATAAACAGATATCAACCGTCCGTCGTTGTGTCTCATTTCCCCCCGCTGCGGCCAAGACACCCTTAGCCGTTGCTATGATCAGTCCGGTGAGTCTGCCGGGCTGGCAGCGGGTCCCCGCCGCCTACCTGCCGTCCTAATGCTGCTGCCCTGGGCGACCTGGGCACAGCTTCCTTCCTATCAAACCTTATTATATCTATGTATCTATTGTTAGGCAGGGCTAGGGCTCTAGGGACTTAGTGTCTTAGGGAATAGGGACTCTAGGCTCACTAGGGAGTTAGTTCCCTTCCTGACCGCTTATCCCGGGCACGGGAGCGGTGCCTTACAACCACTGCCTCCCGCCCGTACAGGTAGATTGGGGTCATTGGACGAAATTCTACGTGCTCGGCGACCGGACTCTAGCTGTCTTATTACGATTTCTAATAAAATTGAGTTAAAGGATTTTTACTCATAATTTCAAATTATACAAGATTCATTTCCCCGTGTCCATTCCAGACGAGCGGAATGCCGGCAGCTGGTCCGCATGTGCGAGCAGCGTCTCCAGCGCCTCCTGGCGACGCTGCTCTAATCTAATCTTATGATACATGTTACGTTTAAGGATTTGTAGTCATAATTACATTACACAAGACTCATTTTCCCGTGTCCTTTCCAGACGAGCGTAGTAACATAAGAGTCATTTTCCCTTGCAGACGAGCGGAATGCCGGCAGTTGGTCCGCATGTGCGAGCAGCGGCGGCAGGAGGCGCTGGCGGCGGCGGCGCGCGCGCGCTCGGGCGGCGGCGCGGCGCACGCGCTGGACGCGCTGGCCCGCCGCCTGCGCGCGCTCACACACGCCGTGCGCGCCGCCTACAGCCTGCCGCGCGACGCGCTGCAGCCGCCCGTCTACCACAACGACGCCTACAGGTACATGTAGGAGCTTTAACATGTTATGCTATCCAGCCGGGTTAGGATGCTCGCCGTGATATACTCTTATCGATGTCAAAATGTATGGACAAATCGATAAAATGGCGTGATAACCGCTAGGTCTGCTCCTACAAGTTGCACTCACGCGTCGATTACACGCGCTCACTACTGTCGTTCGTATATCACAACAATATCGAATACAGTAAGTACCCTCAGAATGTTGTTGGCATTAAAATATTGCTTCAATTAATCCATAGGTTCCTGGTTCATACCCGGCTCGAAGGACCAATAAAAAGAATGGGGACAATTTGACAATTTTTATAAAATAAATGTTAAAAATAAAATCGTATTTAATGTTACCAACACCCTTCAGTACTCTATCGGAAGTGGAATATCTGTAACAACAGCCATTTTATTTCCAGCCGCAGCGACAGCGGCGAGGCTCTCTCGCCAGAGGACGAAGGCCGCGGAGGCCTACTGGCGGCGGTGGCGCGTGCACTCAGGGCCGCACCTCTCGCCCCCGCGCCCGCAACCCCCGCTGCCCCCGCTGACGACGAGCGCTCGCGAGTGTCTGATGACAATGACTCTGCAGACTTGCTTGACTCAGAAACGGAGCCGTGTCTTGTTACCGACCCTGGTGAGTGATTACGCATAACAATGTATTGTTAGCGGTAATATGACGTCACAAGCCGCGCCCGCCACCCCCGCTGCCCCCGTTGAAGACGAGCGCTCTCGAGTGTCTGATGATAATGACTCCGCTGATCTACTGGACTCGGAGACGGAGCCTTGCTTGGTTACCGATCCTGGTAAGAGATTGAACGAAGCAAATTATTGTTAGCGGTAGTATGACGTCACCAGCTGCGTTTGCTACCCCTGCCGCTCTCGCTGACGACGAGCGCTCGCGAGTGTCTGATGACAATGACTCCGCTGATCTACTGGACTCGGAGACTGAGCCGTGTCTTGTTACCGATAGGGATATTACGATACTAATAAATACGAGTAGGTACTCGATACTTTTGATTCGATACCAAGTATTTATTGTATCGAATCAATTTTGCGATACATAATCGGTATCGAGACAAAAATACTTGGTATCGAATCAGCAAAACAACCGAAAACAATAAAAAAAACCGAGAACGCATCATACAGAACTGAGAGAGCAAAAACAGTCAGCTAATCAGCTTTAATCGGTTACCGAGTTACCGGTATTCGTCGCGTGGCGGTGTGAGTGACGCGTTGTTTCGCGCTGGGCCAGCCGAATTCATCCGACTTCAGCCGAGCCCGAGCCGAAAGCTGATTGAGATGAAAGAGATGTTTTCTTCTCAATTTTGTTTAAATTATTGTCCTTCAACGTTCATTGATATCACCCTCAAAATAATAAAACAAAATAAAAGTTCCAAAAAGTATCGATATCAGTAACTATCGATACTTTAGGAGTACTTATTTAAGTAGTATCGAAAAAAGATTTGAGTATTATCGAAATGAGTAGGTATCGATACTTAGGTGGTATCGGAACATCCCTAGTTACCGACCCTGGTGAGTGGATTACTTAAACACAAATTACATAAAAAAACACAGCAACTGTTAGCGGTTGTGTGACGTCACGAGCTACAAGCGCCCCCGCCGCGCCTGCTTGACAACGACTCTGCAGACTTGCTTGACTCAGAGACGGAGCCTTGCCTTGTTACCGATCCTGGTAAGTGGTTGAATGGTAGCTGTTAGCAGTTGTATGACGTCACGCGCTACGAGCTGCGCCTCTCGCCCCCGCTTCCGCCGTGCCTGCCGTCGGCGCGCGCTCGCGAGTGTCTGACGATAATGACTCCGCTGATCTACTGGACTCTGAGACCGAGCCGTGCCTTGTCACTGACCCTGGTAAGATTTTAGACATAGTATGACGTCACAAGTTAAGCCTTACGAGCCTTACCCGTTTTACTCAGAAGCCCTTTAGATACATGTTTATAGCAGGGTTGCATGATTTAAATCAAGTTGATTTAAATCATGATTTAAATCACGATTTTTATTACATGATTTTTTAAATAAAAATCATTGATTTAAATCAATGACCGAAAATGGAATTAATGAAAGGCTGGGAGTTAATATTAATCAACTGTAATGTTCGAAAACAATGTTAATATTAGGTGTTAATGTATGAAATTGTCGTTTTGTATGGAGAATCTGAAAAATTTAATTTTTCCATACAATCACATTTGCGATTTTTCAGATAACCACATAATAAATTTTTTTTGGCGGTGTTGCCTGCTCCATACATCAATTCTACGTAAATAAAAATGTATTCCGTAAGAAAAACTAAAGAAATGATCGCAGAACCTAATAAAAATCAAAAAAATCAAATTAATCAAAAAAATCGTGATTTTTTTAAAAAAATCTGATTTTTTTGATTAAAATAAAAAAATCGTGATTTTTATCCACCCTGGTTTATAGTCATACTGCCTCCCCAACCCGTCTGGCCAGAGCGTGGGGAGGGTAGGCCAAATCTTCCATTGGCCTCTGGTAAATTAGAGAGGGTCGTTCTGCTGCAGTGGAGACTAAATGACCTGATAATGATGATGATGATGCCCTCTAGATCAGCGGTTCCCGAAAGGTGGTCCGCGGAACCCTGGGGTTCCGTGGAAAGGCCGCAAGGGTTCCGTAAAAAATATTATCCCACGTTTCGTGACCGACGTTGTTCGCGCGCACCGACCTGTTTACGCACAAGGGAGGGTTAGGGCGTGCGGGCGGAGTAGTACGGGGGTTCCGCTAGGAAAAGTATAATCAATTAGGATTCCTTGGCAAAAAAAAATTGGGAAATCCTGCTCTAGATATTAATCATTATTTGTTTTGTGCCAGAATGCGCGGAGGAGTGGTGGTCGGGCGCGGAAGGTGCCGAGGGCCCGGCGTGGAGCGGCGACGAGCTGTCGCCCGAGCGCGAGTCCGTCGACATCGACGCCGACAAAGGTGAGCCATGTTCATTCATCGAGCACGTGTAAAGATGGGAGTAGTGCTCGACTCTGTGACGTCACATTACAGGCCAATGAGGGTTTTCGCGTATGAAAGATCCGCTAGATGGCGGGACGTGGATGTGGGGTCTGACTGCTGCGTGATTGGTGGATTTTGACATATCTGTCAATGTCATGTCAAAAATAACCAATCATGCAGCATTTGGACCTCGCGTCTACGTATTGCCATCTGGCGGATTTTTCATACGCGAAAACCCTCATTTAGAAGCCACGATAGCCGAACGGTGAAGGGGACGGACTGGCCGATTCGAGATCCAAGTAACGCGGGTTCGAATCCTGCTCGGCTATTGTGGTGAGCCCACTCGTAACACAAGCATATTTAGCTTACCACGAGGGGCTAGGAGTAATTTGTGCAAAAAACAAATTAAAAACAAATTACTAATAATCTTTTAAAAAATGCTCGAGATGAAGGAGTTCGTAACTCGCAATACTACCTCTCCACTTGCTAAGCTAACGTGCTTCTGTTACGATAGTTAATTTCACCATAATAGTCCAGCGGTGACGATATTTTAACTACTGTTACTGTACTGTACTGCCATATGTTTGTCTCGAAGCGCTGGTAGGGCCCAAAAGATAAGGAGACATGTAAAGTGCCCCATAAGGGCTACCTTTTCTTTTTTATATTTGACGTTCATAAGTGCCACTTGTGGTCTAAACTGAATAAATAATTTTGATTTTGATTTTTTTGACTGATCCTCCCAAGTCCGGAATTGGGCTGACAACCGAGTTCAACCGACACCATTAGGCTTTTGGCGCCTCCAATATTGTCATCTTACTGTTACATTCTGCTAAAAAAAAAGAAGAAGTTCCTACTGTTCGAATCTAATAACATCCTGTTGTGCCTTAGACCCAGAATCAGCGTCAGCATCTGAGCGCGATTCCCTGCGCAATCTATCAGCGGCCATCGCGCAGCGGCACCGCTCCGAGGCCGAGGACCTGGAGCGCGGCTCACTACTCGAGCGCGTGCTCACACTCGACAACCGTCTGTCCGACTTGCTGCGGGCTTTGCAACTCGCCGCCGCCGCCGCTGCTACCAGTGACGACGCCGCCTCTGCCAAGCTCGCCGCCGCGCTCAAGTGAGTGTCATGACGTCACACAACCGCCTCTCCAACCTTCTGCGCGCGTTATAGCTCGCCGCCGGTGACGACGCTGCAACCGCCAAGCTCGCTGCCGCGCTCAAGTGAGTCCCCTTACTCCTCGTGACGTCATACAGCGTGGCTCGCTGCTCGAGCGCGTGCTCACACTCGACTACCGCCTGTCTGACTTGCTACGGGCTTTGCAACTCGCCGCCGTCGCCGCTGCTACCAGTGACGACGCCGCAAGCGCCAAGCTCGCCGCCGCGCTCAAGTGAGTATCCGACACTTCGCCGTGACGTCATACAGCGTGGCTCGCACACTCGACAACGTCTCTCCGACCTCTACCAGTGACGCCGCAAGCTCCAAACTCGCCTCCGCGCTCAAGTGAGTTCCCCTTACTAGCCGTGGCGTCATACAGCTTGCCGCTGCCGCCGCTGCGACCAGTGACGACGCTGCGCGTGACGTCACACAACTGCCCCTCCAACCTCTTGCGCGCGTTATAACTCGCCGCCGCTGACGACGCTGTAAGCGCCAAGCTCGACGCCGCGCTCAAGTGAGTCCCCTTACTCCTCGTGACGTCATACAGCGCGCCTCGCTGCTCGAGCGCGTGCTCACGCTTGACAACCGCCTGTCTGACCTGCTACGGGCTTTGCAACTCGCCGCCGCCGCCGCTGCGACTAGTGATGACGCTGCAAGCGCCAAGCTCGCCGCTGCGCTCAAGTGAGTATCCGACACTCGCCGTGACGTCATACAGCGTGGCTCGCACACTCGACAACGTCTCTCCGACCTCTACCAGTGACGCCGCAAGCGCCAAACTCGCCGCCACGCTCAAGTGAGTGTATACAGCTCGCCACCGCTGCCGCTGCGCGTGACGTCACACAATTGCCTCTCCAACTTCCTGCGCACGTTATAGCTGGCCGCCGCTGACGACGCTGCAAGCGCCAAGCTCGACGCCGCGCTCAAGTGAGTCCCCTTACTCCTCGTGACGTCATACAGCGCGCCTCGCTGCTCGAGCGCGTGCTCACGCTCGACAACCGTCTGTCCGACTTGCTGCGGGCCTTGCAGCTTGCAGCCGCCGCTGCTACCAGTGACGACGCCGCAAGCGCCAAGCTCGCCGCCGCGCTCAAGTGAGTGTCATGACGTCACACAACCGCCTCTCCAACCTTCTGCGCGCGTTATAGCTCGCCGCCGGTGACGACGCTGCAAGCGCCAAGCTCGCTGCCGCGCTCAAGTGAGTCCCCTTACTCCTCGTGACGTCATACAGCGCGGCTCGCTGCTCGAGCGCGTGCTCACGCTCGACAACCGCCTGTCTGACCTGCTACGGGCTTTGCAATTCGCCGCCGCCGCCGCTGCTACCAGTGACGACGCCGCAAGCGCCAAGCTCGCCGCCGCGCTCAAGTGAGTCCCCTTACTCCTCGTGACGTCATACAGCGCGGCTCACTGCTCGAGCGCGTGCTCACACTCGACTACCGCCTGTCTGACTTGCTACGGGCTTTGCAACTCGCCGCCGCCGCCGCTGCTACCAGTGACGACGCCGCAAGCGCCAAGCTCGCTACTCTATTTATGGTTTTTAGATATACTGGGATTAGGCCTCATAGCCAGATAACCCATTTTTTAATCAACTGAGACCACTGTCAGATACTGAAAAGCTTGAACAATGTCCCTCAGTAGTACTTTCTAGAGTATGTCTAATGTATCGATGCTAACATCCCCTCCCGCTAACTTCCAGAGACAAACTAGACCTGACAGAAAAGAACGTAGCAGACGTGGTGGTCAAGAAACTGGCGGAACTCGATGCCAGCAAGAACCTCATGGAGCAGTACCGACAGTCGATCGAAGTGAGTCACCCTAATGCTATATTTGCTTACCATAAGTCTAACTGAGCCACACTATAAAACTGCGTGACTTATTTAATCTGTATTAAGATCCGATTCTAATAGTTGCAGTGTTGCCAGAAATAAAAATAAAAAATTGTTACTATTTTTTTTTATAGATTATTAGAGTATCAACGAAACTGGCCTTGCGCAGCTTGTCAAACTGCTAAGTAGGCCGCAACGCATCGCAAGACCTTAAGCTACGTTATAACCCAACGAGCCGTTACAACTTCCAAAAACACACACTAAAGCGCACTATGAGTGTCGGATCAGGACTGCTAATATTGCATAACATAATTGTAATAATAACCATGATATTATTTATATTATTGACATTAATTTACAGCATTGTATTTTTATATCTGTGTATTTTATAAGTATTTTTCTGTTGTTTATTTAATTACAATAAAATAAATTATTACAAAATTGACATTTAGCGTCAGTTTTGTTAGTGCCGTTAACTGATTTAATGTGAAACAGGTATTTACACAATTCAGGCCCTGCTTGGCGATCTCGAGTCAAGAGTGAGGCGCGCAGGTTACTCCTTCTTATTGCTCGCACGCTTCTAGGCGCACCAGGCTGTGTTCTCTCTGCGCAATGCGCATTTAATGACTCTTATATTTAGTACCAAACGTCAATCGTTAGTACATTACGTAGAATAACTTTTTAATTATGGCCAAGCCAAGTTTTATGCGTTACGAAAACTGCATAATGTTTATTCTACACCAAAATTAATAATATTACCGACACTGATAATGTGACCAGTATTACATATCGTTTTCCATATCAAAAACAGAAAAGATGTAGGTACCATTATTTATGATATAACATTTTGTAGTCAGGCCGATTACTGTTATAAATTATATTGAAAATATAAAAGCATTTTAAATTGATAAATATATGATACCATGCCATTTTACTTATTTACATTTTCGTTACCCCTAATTAACTATTTAACCGTATTTACTAACGCTTTTATATAACTAATTGCTTAATATTAACCCAGTTACATCAGAGAGAACACAGCGGTTCCGTTTCAATGCTGGTTGCATTGACTCGCGACGTTTGGCACAAATGTTAAAACACTGACGAACCTGTACATACGAACGAATTGGCACAGTTTTATCAATACTTTAAACATACACTATGTACATTTATAGGTGAAATATTATAAACTTTTTGCTGGCTTATATTGTTATCGCTTCTTTGGTTATTTGTGGATTGTTTTACAAACAAATTGTTATCTTTATAGGCGCTCAAAAAGCAAGTGGCTCAATCCGGTGAGGAGGAAGAATTAGAATTTATTGAAGAGGTAAGCTGAAAAGCCTTTATTTGTTTAGTATTAAAATATACAGATGTAAATTATGACTTTTTAATGCCAGTATTAAAACTCGTATGTAGAATTGTTTTTGTCAAAAATCTATTTATTTTTATGTTGAGTTGTTCTCAATTTACTTAAGGGTCCCTAATTTTATGCTTCACTTTACTGTATGTAACAAATCCTGCGAGCTGATTGTGATTCTAGTATTTAAATACAATATCTCTTTATGGTTTTTCTTTATTTGCCGACTGTCGTCAAATAGGTCGTGACACCCAAAGTAGTCAAAAACTTCGCACACGTCTTTGTTACAATTGGAATAAGGTTGTGTTGTAAACTTTTGACCTTTTGGGTGTCACGAACTATTTGACGCTTACTGTACCAATTTCAAGAACTTAAAAAACACTTCCCCAAATTGCAACGGTTATAGTCTGGTCTCCGAGCACGTAGAATTTTGTCCAATGACCCCAAGCTACCTATCCTTATCGCTCGCGCGTAATGAGGGCTATCGTTTTTATACTTAACAGTTGGCACCCCTGGCGATTGACAGGACCTTACTCTACAGTGGCGCCATCTTGATGAGTGCAAATGCGATAGTCCTCCTACCACTTTCGCGCTCACCAGTTGGTGCCACTGTCTTCGCTACTAGCAAGTGACAGGACCTTACTCTACAGTGGCGCTAAAACGATAGCCCTCATTACGCGCGAGCGATAAGGATGGGCAGCTTGGGGTTATTGGACAAAATTCTACGTGCTCAGCGACGACTTTAGTTCTGTATAAAATTTTCTGAAGCTTCAATATTGCGTGCAGGAACTAGCGTCATGCAGCGAGAGCGAGCGTCGGGTTCGGTACGAGGCTCTCGACGCCGCGTTGCAAGCGCTGCACGCGCGACCTCGCGCCATCCGCTCGTGGCCGCGCCTGCGCCGGCTGCAGCGCGACCTGGAGCTACTTGCCTTCGCCGTAGTCGCGCCCGCGCCGCCCGCGCGTCCGCAGCCGGGTCCGCCGCCGCCGCAGCTTCCCTCCACCGCATAGCGGACACAATAGTTCAGCGGTTCCCGAAAGGTGGTCTGCCGAACCCTGGGATTCCGTGGAAAGGCCGCAAGGGTTCCGTAAAAAATATCATCCCACGTTTCAAAAAAATTGGGAAACCCTGCAATAATTACTACCCGTTCGCGATAAGTTTGCCGCTGGCGATATGACGTCACTCGAAGGAATGCATCTATAACTTTAGCAAACTATATTGAAAATATTTTTTATTTATTAATATTGATAAAAATTTTATATTTGCGTAAAATAAAACACTTAATTGCGTTTAATCACTAACAAATTGCGTTTAATCGTGGTTGGAGGAGGGGACGCGCATTCCACGGACCGGCCAACTTAGCGCGAACTCGTAGTAATAGACTGGAGTGGAAGGTCTATGCCAAGGCTGGCCGAATAGATTTTCCAAATGAGCAAATTTTCTTAGACTGTGGCTACGCCAGGCTACAGCTTTTTGAAAATCAAAGCAAAAGCAAAACAATACAAATTCATAAGGCCGTTTAACTCGCTGGCGGGCAAATTCAAATGCTTTGGCGCCCCCACTTCGTGGCCAGCCTTGGTCTATGCAATTGATGTGGTCTATTGATTCCATCTAGACAGAGACTAACAACTAAACTAGCTTCATATTGACGTGGAAGGTCTACTCGAGCGCGTCACAAGGGTCAGGGAATCACAGTTAATATCAGTATCAGCGTCATAGACCATGGACTAGCCTAGCTTCATACTTTCATAGACTGTTGATGTGGAAGTCAATGCGATTGATGTGGTCTTGATTCCATCTCCACAGGAACTAACAGGTTCATAGAATACGTTAAAGGAAGGTCTACGCGATCGTGTCACAGGGAACCACGAACTAACTATAAACTATCACTCATCTTCATACTTACATAACCTATGGTGACGTAGAAGGTTAATAGTACAGAAATTGCGCCAGTCTTTTGACTATAATGAAGAGGATTTATATGTCAGACGCGACTGTTATGACACCCACAACTAACCCTACCCGTCGCTAGCGTAAGACCACACCCCCAGTGCCCCCACTTTCGTCTACCGCTTAACGACTTTAAGAAATGAAACTACCCAGTGTCATAGAGATTGCTACTTAGTGGACAACTTACGAGGCCAAAAAACTCATTGAAAATTGCAATCGTTGTTCAAATATAGTCTAAAAATTTGATAATTACAATGTTCTGAAAAATAGTGACACCTATTTACTAATTCCATTTAAATAAGTGTAAAAATAATGAATTTATTAATAATATTAGATATGACATCATTTGCTTCTCGCAACTTGCATAATGCATTCTGTTTTTACTAAATAAAAGTTTTTTATTATATTTAAATTATACTTTTTGAAAAGTCTTTATCTGGCATATTATGCTTTTCAATGAATTACTTATAAGTACATAGAATTTCACGCTTGATCACCATGCAAGTTGTATGTACAGTCGCGGAATGAAAAGGTTCGTCACCTTAGTGTCGGTTTTCGCTTGCACTAGGTACTGTAAGAGTCAAATCTGCCAACATAACCGTGCAAGAAACAATGCTGCTAACATTTAAATAAATATGACGTTTGCTAACGAATGAGGTTTTGCTTGTTTATTTTTCTATCCCATCAGTGCAATATTGTTACAAAAATGTAGATTTTTTTTTCAATAGATAATGGCAGGTTGAACCAACAAGAAGGTTTTAGTTTATCAATCTTAATAATCTTCTTGACCAAAAAAAAAAAAAGTTAAATCGTCAAACAACTTTGATCTGAATAATTTTGAACTTTATTGACGAACAGTTAAAGATTATTTTCTCTAACTCGAGATTATTCTGTAACATAGTTTCAAAAGGTAATATGTGCTCGCGATTCGTTGAAGGAATCAATTTGAAAACTGACGAACCTTTTCATTCCGTGACTGTACTACCAATATAAAGTTCTTTCCTCTTTTACTGTCTATATTACATTATTAATTAAAAGAAAAATACTAGCGAATTCAATTCAAAGCATAGAACATGACAAATCTTAATGAAATCGTAATTTAAAAAAACTAGTTACTAAAGCCCGTCAAATTATTAAGCCTTTAATCTCCGTCCTGGAACCTCCATGACAGCTTGCCAATAGAATTTATGTATATTAGAAGTAAATGAATTTAGAAATAGCTTCATGCGCAAAATGATGAGATAAATGAGAAGTATCATCTGATGTGCCGAAAATGTGCATTTCTATTACTGTAGCGCAACGTCAACAAAAGATAGTTCGATTGTTAATATTGTTTAAACTGTGTAATATTGCATTAAAGTCACAATGTAGGTAGTAGTTGATAAGGATGTTATGTATATTGTAGGCGCGCATCGGATGGTAAAATAAATAATTATTGATTGATCTCAGCATGCGTGGAAAGTACAAAACAATAAATTATTAAATTTGTCCTTTCCCTATTGCGTTTGATGGTCCTATGAAAGATTTAAAAACAATGAATTCAATTTGTCAGAGAGAATAATAAATAAAAACAACTAAATATATTTTATTAAAATTAACTATTATTTAGGAATTTGCTTTGTAATATAGACTTATTTTTTCATTCCTAAACGCATTTAAAATGTCTTATTCATATCACTAGGAATCTTGGAAGGTCAAAATTTATTAGAGAATATGGGTTGTATAAAAATCTAATATGTATCTATAAATCTAAAGTATTTTAAGTGCCATTAGCGCATAGGACGTCTAGTAGATAATTTTATCGCTGGTTTTCGGTGTAATACTTTTTCTTATCCTTCAACCAAGTATAAACTATTTCAAATTTAAATTTATTAAACTACTATTGTGTGAAACTTCTAATCAAGTGTATTATCATCTAGTCAATATCATTCGATATTTTGTTAAAATCACTATACCTACCTATTTCCTGTAGCTCGTCTGCCTCAAGATGAAAATCAATAAATTATATTTTTATTAAAGTAAAAGAACAGAATTAAAAGAGATCCTTGCCTTTTCTAATAAATATCAATTAAGGTTATTTGGTCACTGAAATTATTAAAAATCCAATCACTTGTATAATGATTAGAAACACGAATTAAAAAGGTTACATGATTAAAAATTGTAACAAAACGAGACTGATATTGTATTTATGTTGAATGTTGTTATTGGTCGTGTTGAAGTTTGTTAAATTGAATGGATTTTGGATTGTTTGAGATGTACACAAAAGATAACGAAATACATTTGTAAACGTAAGCTGAAATGTTTAAACGCTTTTTATAATAGTAGTACAAACCGATAGAAGTGCTTTAATCAACCATAACATCGGTTATTGCTTACTAATGCTACTTATATTCTCGTAAGAAATCGAGAAAATCATTATGTATTGCCCAAGTCAGTTGATATTCAAGAAGATCCATTTGTTAATAAATCGCAAAATCGTGTGTTGTATATAATATGAATGTGTAAATAAATATATTGTGAATCATCTATGTCTTTTCTTTAGTCGACACCTTAACCTATCTTCTACCATAAGATATCCAAGTTAGCGCAATAATACACCCAGAATCTTGTTTGAGACATTTATTTGACATACTTCATTAAAATAATATTACATTTTGATGTGCGAGACTTTCGTCTTGCACCTTAGGATTTTTATAATCTTGACCTAAGCTTTAAATTTTGACATTGAACAATAAAACATTAATTGAACATCCATCTATTTAATCTACTTACAACATCAATATTGTAATTAATATGAAGTTAAGACTCCAATCAGGGAAACTATAGTAAATGTATGATGAATTACAATAATTCTATGTAATCTAACTTCAACTTGGAGTCATCGGGAGAAGATTGAATTTACTGTTAAATAACAAAAATAATATTCGGTTCAGTTTCATTATAAAAAGTGTGTACATGGTGAAAATTAAGATTAGATACACCTTATTTACCAACAATATTTAAATATTAAATCGCTTATATTTATGGTCAAATCGCAAAGATTTGCGGAATCAGACATTGTGTTTTGAAATAATTTCATATTTACTAGTTCTCATACTGAAAGTCAAAAGGACTCGCTTACATTGCCAAAAGCTGATTAAGCCTTGCAAGGCCACGCCACTACAATATGGCTGATAGAAGTCACAATGTTGTTTATTTTTTTTCTGTAACTGAATTAATTTGTCAATTCTTAATCAGCTTCTGGAAAGAGCGAGTAACCAACCTCCGCTCAAATAAACAAGAGCCACACGCCCAATGAAAATGTTTAACCTAAAATATATAAATATATCAGTCAGTGGGCTGTTAGTTATTCTATTTTCCTAACTACAAATAATTACAGCGAAGTAGCGCAATCCATAGTGGTCCATACACACAGGCTCGTCTCATTTAATACCTATACAATATAATTCTTAAATAAACAATCTATATCCACTTGTTCGATTTCATGATACTCTTAAATATTATACAACATCAATATAATATCTGATATACAAGATTAGCGAAATGCATTGTCTAATGCAATTGCGTGAACAATGTAATTCATATTTAAATACATGGAAAGCTATTATGAATAAGGAATGAATAAAACATCGTCTTAACCCGGATTAACTTATCAACCGTATCAGTTATTTACCATTACATTTATACATGTAGTAAATTCAAAGTTACACACCGCTGCAATCACTAGGCTTATCCACTAGCCAGCAACGGAGACATAATTTTAATTTAAAAGGTTTAAATAGCTTCGTCTTTAGAAGCTATTGAGTTGTCAATTTTATCCGGATTTCTCAAGATACTATCGCTTTCATACATAGCCAGTCGTCATTTTCCAACAAATATGCACAAAAAATAGAAAATTCAGACTCAATGATATTTTACTTTATTATTTACACAAAAAAAATCAAGAAAAACTTCTAAGTTGTCAAACCATTTTTCGTCAATAGAGAACAGAGTTCCCAAACCAACTTGCATAATTTAAATGTACAGTTTATGAAACGCATAATTTCGCTGTCCCATATTGTTGTTTTATATTTTTACAGAACTTGTTAAATTAAAATCACATCATTGCACATTTACATCGCATACTTTTGTTCAATGCTACAATTAACTTACGAACGGATTATGCAGTGTATTTTCTCATTGTCACTATGACACCTTGTAAGAACGAAAGCTTAGAGGACAATAACGATGACACAGATATACGAAAAGGGACAGCGATATTTTTGAAAAAATTTACTTCAAATAAAGATTACATTAATTAATGTAAGTAATTTAATTAATAATAATTTCAGTGCATATTCCACATCTTGGAATAACACAAGTTTGTGTCATGTGCTAAATACATAAATAGTGTTTTTACATTCTTGATCACTTGATAATAATCAAATCAATTGGCGTTCAAATAACATGAGATTAGAGATAATTATTTACCTACTTAACTAGCTAAGAAATATTACGAGATAATATTACATGTCAACAAAGAAGAGTTTACTTGCACTCAGGTTCATTGTTCATTTTATTTATTTTATCGAACCTGCAGCAAAGTTTTTGGGGATATTTATGACTGATTTGTCACATAAATTATTACAACTTACCAGACTTCACCGAGTCTATACTATGTTAAGGATTTATGTTAGTAGTCGTACACATAACATTAAATACAAAATTAGCACGAAACACTGACACTGGAGGTATCTGGGCCTAAGAAGCATCGAACAAACCTAATAAGTCCATAGAAAAGTTACATAAGGTTTAAGAAATGAACAATATAGTTATTAATATCCATAGAAAAGTTTGATTAGTTTTGAGATATTACCAATTTTAGTTATTAATGTCCAGAGAAAAGTTCGATAAGTTTTGAAATATGACCTATATTAGTTAGGTATTTTTTTAAATAGCCTTTTAATAGACATAGGTGTCAGTGTGACGTGCTAATTTTAGGACACCTTGTATATCAATGGTACATTTTAAGTTGTTTGACATTCACATTCAATAAATTAAAACGTGATCAAATCGAGAGTGCGTTATTGAATAAGTGTGGTCGCCAAGAAAGCGACATTTACTCGATCATGCAACACAATAAATTCACCAAAGGTTCTAAAGTGTTTTATCACTACATGCAAACAACTGAGTAGGTTCCTGCGTAGTTTCGTTACGGGAGGAGTGTTTTTGTTTAAAAACCGTTAAACTTCAGATGTGATTACAGTGACAATAGACAACTCTGATACATCACATGACATCCCTCCGTCACCACTCCACTGTCGCAGAAACTAACTTAGTTAAAGGTAGACGCTGCGTCTGTGACGCTTAGTTCGAAACGCTACCTTAAGTGCTATCCCTCTCTGTTAAGAACAGGTCACGTGTCACGTAGCCAATTGGAGCTTTCACCCTCTTACACCACGCGTCACCTCAGGAGTGACCTTACGAACTGAAGAATGTGTCTGGGTCTTCAAAACTATCCCAGAAACGTGAACTCATTGGCTAATACAGGCGCACGTAAATCGCTTTTATTATTCACTAAATCGTTAATACCTAATTTTAATAACATATTTTTTTCATTGCACACAAATGTAGTAAGACTTGAAGCCTTTAGGCGTTTTATTTTGTCAACTATTTGAAGTAAAAAATAATAATATACAATGTGTGTTTTCTCCATAATTCTAAATGTAGTACTCGCCCTTAATATTTATACCGCGTGAGACCATAATGAAAAGAAAGAAAATTCTGGATCTCCTGTATCTTTCGCTTTCGCACTTTCTGTTAAACCACGAGAGTCAACTTTACACCATTAGCTGGTTATCTTTATCAAAATCTTACATTGTAAAATATGTGATATTTTTATAAGAAGTGCATACTCGTAAACTTTGATATAAAAAGGGTGGCTCAAACGAGCAGTCAATTCAAACGATGGGAAGTGTTTTTCAAAGACGTTTTTGGAGATACTGAGGCTCTTTCGCCAGTCATGGCGCAAATAATACCCCCATCTATCGTTTTTCAGGACATTAAAACGCACAGGAATATAACACGGTTAGCATACTTTACGACGCTTGACATTGTTAATCTTAATACGGGTTTCATTTTTCATTAAAAAACTTGGGATGTATTTCAATTAAAGAGAATATTAAATATGGTTAGAAGGTTGCGTAATATACAGACATCGTGCGACACATATACGACATTCAAATGTAATATTGTTACTTATTTAACACATCTCACACAAACCGTGTGTACAACCATGTCATGTTTACATAAATCTTCTAGCTAATAAATCGGTGCGCGAGCAGTTACATTATATTGTTACCAAGGTAGCGTATGATACGTGCGTTACGTTATCACCCTGGCGTTGTGATGGTGTCTAAAGACAGCTCGAACCCCGTAACAGTACTATTACGGGGTTCGGGCCCTGTAAGAGAATATAAACGTATCGATTCAATGAAGCGTGTTACATTACCGGTCGTTTCGCCCTTTGTGATGATTTGTCCGTGTTCCGGGGTCCAGGCCCCGTATGGCCCCGTAGACCGGGCGCTTAGGTGGAGAGGTACAGGCGATGGTAGTCGTTGGCGCCGAAGGCCGCGTTGCACTTGGGGCACTTGCGCTGGCGGGTCTCGTAGCGCGTGCGGAGGCAGTCCCAGCAGAACACGTGGAAACACTTCGTCAGGACTGCGTCCTTGCGTTTCACCTGAGGAACGAACGATGAACACTTAGTTGCATGCCGCAAATCTACTTCAATGCCAATGTCAAGTCCAGTCATGTCACTTTTATTTATTTAAACTTTTTGCACAAATGTAAACAGAAGCTAAGGCGGCGCAAAAATTTACATACCTACTTACATATGAATACATAAAATAAATAACTTTTATGATGCAGTGTGGTGGGACCTGCTTGAATGGTTGAACAGTGTGAGTAACAGAGTTAACCACCTGTCTCGTCGAGTGTATACATACTCTACGTGACTGAATTTCTTCCACCACTTCATCTCAGCATTAACATTAGCAATGTTGTAAGTGGTCGTAGGACAGGTCTCGGCTCGAGGATAAGCGCTCGAAGGCATGTCTAAAGTCCTTAAAAATATATTGCTGTCGCGTTCACACACACACTGCGGCCGCCCGTCGCACAGTCGTGACAGCAATATAATTACGTGCGAGCGATAAGGATGGGTAGCTTGAGTTCATTGGACGAAATTTTATCTGCTCGGTGACCGGACTTTACATATTATGTTAACAGACATACAGTCGTGGTCAACTAATTAGGGACAGATAGAATACTAAGCAATACTAAGTGTTCATATCCTATTATTGTGAGCTTTATTCGATATTACTGACTGTTACTTTGTAAACATATTGACTATCAAGGACTCTATTTAACAGAATACAATAACAACAAAAAAAACTTACTAACTTAATAAAAAATCTTAATCAAATCACATGAATCGGTAATTATGGTACGGACGGTCTGGCCACCTACAGTCTAATTTTTTAGAAATCAGCAGAAATGTCATCAAACATGGCCAACTGACATAAAAATATTTTTAGTCTGTGAACTAGTGACGCGACAAAACCTCTCGTTAATCGCGAAGTGAAATTATTGTAGTACTTGCGTATCATCACCGGGTGATCGTCAAAATACTAAAAATATGCAACAAAGTCGCAACATTGAATGTGAACTAATTATGAAATTTTCGAGAACAGGAAACAAACTGTATGCACAGATGTAATCAAAAAACACACTGGACAGTAAAACAATCAATGATATCCGTAAAGTTATTAAACTTCAAATAGTTGCAAAAAGTTCTGTTTGACAGTGTTTCTACTAGTGACATCTCGCTCGCTCAGTTCGTTGTTGCTCTATTCCGCTAGGGAAGTAATTTAAGATGCTATCAATGAGGGTTTTCGCGATTGAAAAATCCGCCAGATGGCAATACGTAGACGCGAGGTCTAAATGCTGTATGATTGGTTATTTTTGACATGACATTGACAGATATGTCAAAATCCACCAATCACGCAGCATTTTGACCTGGCGTCTACGTATTGCCATCTGGCGGATTTTTCAATCGCGAAAACCCTCATTGATAATATCGATTAAATTTACAGATTATTGTCTATGACTCACAGGTTACAGCACTGATGTGTCAGAGACAAGTCATAGACAATATGGAGATAACACATGATTTTAAACGTCAAGTCAATTTGACAAGTCTCACAAATTTTCATCGTCACGTATTTTGCTAAAATAATTTGTTTCAAAGATTGATTTCAAACTTGTATAAACGTGAAAAGAAAGTTGGTTTCATGGGCTTGTTAAATAATGAGTATGATATTATGAACACGTAAGTGATTATGGTGTAATTGTGTATGAAAGTGTTTGTTTACATCTCTGCTGGATTCTAAAAAATCAAGGTATAATTAGGGACGCTTAAGTTTTTCCTTCTAAATTAAAAAAAATAAAAAGTAATAACTTTTATTCTGTTCATTTGTAATTTCGGCGTCAATTTGAAAAGCGATATTCTTAACTTGCGAGTTAAAAACTCATCAAATTATTAAAGGTAATGGGCTGAAAGAAAAGCAACAATGCGCTAAGTTGTAATCAATCTTTATCAGTGTGGATGGCCATACCGGTAAATTGCAGATGATCTGAAATGTTCCAAAAACATGAATCTACGATGCAGTGGCTTATTTCAAAATCATGAAGCCACAGAAAGTATGCCTAGAAGAAAGAGGCCAATAAAAACAACCCCACAAGATGATCGCAGCATGGTCACTCTCGCAAAGAGAGACCCCTTTAAGGGTTTCGTTCTAATCAAGAGCGAGATTTTTGGACCAGAACCGACTGCTGGAGTGTCTGCGAGGACCGTCAGAAGGCGACTGGTGGAGGCAAAGCTTGTAGGAAGAGTTCCTCGAAAAGTTCCACTACTGAAGATGGAACACAAAGAAGCAAGATTGGCGTTTGCAAGAAAGTATGGACATTAGGCTTTTGCTCAATGGATAAATGTGCTGTTTTCTGATGAGATCAAGATAAATCTTATTCCATCCGACGACAGACAATACGTGCGACGACCTGTAAAGTCCGAAATGATACCAAAGTAAACGAAGAAGCAGGTGAAACATACAGGCGGCAATATAAAAATCTGAGGCTGTTTTTCTGGACATAGAGTGTAACCTATAAAAAGAACTGAAGTTAAACCTGAGCAATTCCAATACCAATAAATATTGGAGAAAACGATGCTATCGTATGCTGAAGAAGTCTTACCAGTCTCATGAACATTTCAACACGATAACGACTTTGGAATAATATTTCTTTAGAAACCTGTAATGATTTGATTGCATCCATGCCGCGCCGATGTCAAATGGTTATAACCAACAAAACCAACCATGTTGGTTATAAAAATACGTTTGATGATTTTGTTTTGTATTCTATATTTATTAATGAAAACTTTTTATGTAATAAACACTTAAATAATTTCCAATTTATTTACATTTACAGTGAAAGTGTTACGTGTCCCTAATTAGTTGTCCATCCCTAGGTCAATAAATGTGTAGGTGGCAATTATTTATTTATTTTTAAAATATTGATCGCAACTAGCTAGTTTCTTTTCTGGCCTTTAAATATTTAGAATACTAGCCAAATTACTTGTTATTAATAGGCACAAGCTACAATGCCTCGTGAAGATTTTTTTTTCGGACTGGAGAGACGGTCTTGTGTTTTAGTCATATAACGTCCCTAATTAGTTGACCACGACTGTATATCATCGGATATTTTACGTAGCGCTTTCTAGACGCAAACTGAGAAAAACATGATCTTAGATAATGATTTGGCGTTTGCCTGGTAACTAAACTACCAGACCAGGCGGGCATAAAACGCAAGGAAGCACTGACCTTGCACGAGGGGCAGGTGAGCGTCTCCTTGTACTCGCGGATCTCCTCGAGCAGCACCTCGTCCATGCTGCTGCCGGCCTGCTCCATTTTCTTCATGCGCTCCGCCTTGCGCCGCAGGATCGCCAGCTCCTCCTGTTATAAAACGAATCATTAATCATTGTTTTTTAGGCAAGAAACCGCCACTAATCTGAGTGAGTGCAAGGAGTTTTAAAAATTATCACCGATTTCTTGATATTAATCGAATAGTGCACCGATGGGCCTGCCCATCCATCGGCCGTCAGTTCTGCGTACTATGTGCCCTGGCACATAATACGCAGAACTGACGGCCGATGGGGCAGCAAGGTTCTGGAGTGAAGGCCGCGTACCGGAAAACGCAGCGTGAGACGTCCACCCACAAGGTGGACCGACGATATCATAAAGGTAGCAGGGAAACGCTGGACGCAGGCCGCTACCAATCGATCAACATGGAAAACATTGGGGGAGGCCTATGTTCAGCAGTTGACATCCTGTGGCTGAAATGATGAGTGCACCGATGATAGTCACGTGTAGCGCCTGGATGGGGTCAGCACAAGATTGGTCGTTGAAGAAATCCGCGGAGGAAGCCTTTTTCCAGCAGTAGACGGCATTAGGTGGAAATAAATAAACGAACGAACAAATGATCGAATGATCTAGAAGCAAGGAAGGTAAGTTAAGTTAAGACCTAAATGCTAATGTGGTAAAGCAATAAAGTATTGAGTATTGATTGTATAGGAAAATTGAACTCACGTGTAGTCTTTTTGTTTTGTACGCTTCAGCTTCGAGCGCGCTCGTCTTCTCAGCGACGACCTGTTGCGCCTCCTTCATCTGCGCGTGGTATTTTTCTGTAACAATATCATCGATAATAAGAAATCATGGAAGCATAAAAGAAGACCGTTTGGGTTTGATTCTCTATTGGTTAAACTTACTCGGTTCTGAGGTTACTTAAATAACAAAAAGCGACTTAGTTACGGTTCCGTCGAACTTTCACGTTTTAAGTCACGCGCGCTATTTTCGCGACAGTTCCAGCTTCTTCTTATCGTGTCGACAACAAACTTACAGTGTCCAAAACTTCGCTACAAGAGTGGCGTTGTCAGCAGCATTCATTAAATCCTCCTACGTGCAGTTGTTTGGGCACGCAGGGCACGACATCATGTGCTTCATCGACTGGGGAACAAAACCTTCCAGCTAAGCAAAATGTATATGTTGGGAGTGGGTTCATAGTCCAGCGAGACATGGGGGTCTTTCCTACAGTCGGCGGCGGACTGCGCCGACTCGATGGCCTCGCGCTTGTCGTCTCCATGGCCTGTGGGCAGCAGCAGCTCCTGTTTACCTAGAAGGAGTGCTCCGAAGAATTATCCGGACTTATTCCTCCGCCACTTTTCGCCACCGATCTACCCGACAGCACTTCCACCCCCATCACTTAGATGGTTGGCAGTCCACAACAGTACGTTTCTCTAGAAACTTCCTGCCCCGTACAACCAAACTGTGGAATGGACTGTCGTCTGCGGTGTTTCCGGACGGATACGACCTGCAAGCTTTCAAGAGGAGAGCGTATCTTTACCTTAAAGGCCGGCAACGCACCTGTAACGCCCCTGGGTCTGCGGGTGTCTATGGGCGACGGTAATCACTTACCATCAGGTGATCCGTCTGCTCGTTTGCCTCCTGTCATAAAAAAATAAAAAGACTGCGCCGACTCGATGGCCTTGCGCTTGTGCATTTCCATGGCCTGTGGGCAGCAGCAGCTCCTGTTTATTTAGATCAGCGGTTCCCAAACTTATTTTGTCTACTTCCCACTTTGAGAATAAATTCTTTTTAGCGCCCCCATTTGTAGTAAAGTGCTCAGTCGGTGTCTAAGAGACCTCCTAGTAAATGACGCCTCCCAAGCCTACACAACGTCCCGATTTTTTTCTGGGTCTCTTACCGCCCTTTAAGCCTGCAGCGCCCACAAGGGGGCGATATCGCCCACTTTGGGAAAGACTGGAAAGGAGTGCTCCGAAGAATTATCCGGACTTATTCCTGCCACCACTTTTCGCCACCGATCTACCCGACAGCACTTCCACCCCCATCACTTAGATGGTTGGCAGTCCACAACAGTACGTTTCTCTAGAAACTTCCTGCCCCGTACAAACAAACTGTGGAATGGACTGTCGTCTGCGGTGTTTCCGGACGGATACGACCTGCAAGCTTTCAAGAGGAGAGCGTATCTTTACCTTAAAGGCCGGCAACGCACCTGTAACGCCCCTGGGTCTGCGGGTGTCTATGGGCGACGGTAATCACTTACCATCAGGTGATCCGTCTGCTCGTTTGCCTCCTGTCACATAAAAAAAAAATAATAAGACTGACCTAGATGCAGCTTAAGGTCGGCGGCGGACTGCGCCGACTCGATGGCCTCGCGCTTGTCGTCTCCATGGCCTGTGGGCAGCAGCAGCTCCTGTTTACCTAGATCAGCGGTTCCCAAACTTATTTTGTCTGCTGCCCACTTTGAGAATAAACTCTTTTTAGCGCCCCCATTGTGCTCAGTCGGTGTTTAAGAGACCTCCTAGTAAATGACGCCTCCCAAGCCTCTACACAACGTCCCGATTTTTTTTCTGGGTCTCTTATCGCCTCCCTTTAAGCCTGCAGCGCCCACAAGGCCCCCTGCTGCCGGACTTGTGGACTCCTTTCTCCTCTTGCATCTCCGTCAGCAGGGGTACGCCGTGACAACAGAGGGCCCCCGCTGAAAATCAGTTTCAAGACAAGCCCTGGCGGTCTTGATGTACGCTGAGCCGGGTGCCTTTTTGTCAGAGGGGCACAAGCAGTTAATTGTCCACTTGTTTATTTCTCTCTGTTTTTAATCTATGTCTTACCTGCTTGTATACCTTTCTTGCAAATAAAAAGTTTTCTATTCTATTCTATTCTACAAGGGGGCGTTATCGCCCACTTTGGGAAAGACTGACCTAGATGCAGCTTGAGGTCGGCGGCGGACTGCGCCGACTCGATGGCCTTCCGCTTGTGCATCTCCATGGCCTGCTGCCGCAGTAACAGTTCCTTCTCGACGGCGGAGAGCGTGGCCTGCAGCAGCCGCTCCTTCTCCTCCAGCCGCCGCGCCACCAGGCCCATGGACTCGATCTGCTGGTCGCGGGTTATGACCTGGAAGGAGAGATATACACTTGATCGGTAACAGGTAGGAAACGGTCAGTCCTCCTGCGTCATATTTTATTTATTTATTTATTACTAGCTGACCCGGCGAACTCTGTTCCGCCTTAAAGGCAGTAAATCAGCAAATTTTGACCATTTAGACCTACCCTGGACTACAACAAACATTTCAAAACCAAAATCAGCTCAATCGGCCCAGCCGTTCTCGGGTTTTAATCAGACTAACGAACAGCAATTCATTTTTATTTATATAGAAGATAACATTGTTTATCAATTATATCTTTGATTTAAATAGTGTCTTAAATCCTCTTGAGGTTTGTCTAGACACTATTGTTCTCTAATCTATACAAAATAAAAATAAACGTATTTATTTGTATGTGTACTACAGAAGGAACAGTGAGAGCGCCTTCAAATTGGAGGCGTGAGGAAGCGTTGCAGTAACGCCATTACTAGTTTTCATACAATTTCTAAAAGTAGTAGCTTCCTCACGCCTCTAATTTGAAGACACCCTAAATGACACGTGTCGTATACACGGCTGACGATGCAACATTATGAAATTGGCATCATGGATTGGTGTAAGCAGATTGAAATGTCAGACAGATATAAAGGTAGTAGCATCGTGTTACGCCCGGTTTCCACCAAAGAGGAGACGAGACGAGACGAGAAATGTGCGACGAAACTGGCAGGTTATTTCAACCAAAGCGTAGTGGAGACGATAGAAGATGTGAGCTATGCGTAGCTGTTAGCTGTCAATCTACTGCTGTCTACGAATCAAGATTTCCACTGCTGAACATAAGCCTCCCCCAATGATTTCCATAATGACCGGTTGGTAGCGGCCTCTATCGCGTCTTCCTGCTAATTTTATAAGATCGTCGGGCCGAAACATCGCTGGATCCATTTCCGCTGAAACTGAGCGGAAAGAAAGTATGGAAATAGCGAAATCTGCTTATCTTCAGCTAAAGTCTGTTCGCCGAGAGATGATAAAAAAAAAAATATCAGAGGTTCTAAACTCATTATAAATTGCGGCCCGCTAATTATTTTTGTCGATATAATGAAAAAGTTGGTAGATTATCGTTATCAGGGTGTCCACTGCAAATGTTCGAAAAAATTCCCTGACTTTTCCCTGACTTTCCCTGACAATTTTCTCAAAATTCCCTGACCAACTATGTATACAACGTGTCCCAAAATTCAAGGATAAGCCGACGCCACAGGATGGACATAGTCATGATTACTTTAGGAAAAATAAGGAAAAAAATATATCTCAATTATTTTTTAACTTACACAATAAATTATGAAATTCAACGAAAATTGACACCCCTTATGATATTTTACAATACCATGACCACAATTTTTCAATTATTCCTGGTTTTCTGTTTATATCGGCAACTTAAGTAGTGCTGCTGTTCACCCCAACTCTTAAAACCCCCAGAATCCTTGCAGTTTTTACACAAAAATTAATCAAAATATTTTATTTCCTTAAAATTTTGAACGATTTTTACTTTCACGTCCATCCTGCGGCGCCGGCTTATCCTTGAATTTTGGGACACGTTGACTTTTCGGATAGATCCAGTTAATTCTGTAACCTATTACTGATATCGTTTGAAAGAGCTCGTGAAGCACTTTCAAGATCAGTTTAGAAATAATCGAATGAGATCACTTATCGTTTCCACCCTGTATTAATAGCACTCACAGTGAACTGCTCACTAGTCTGCACTCAATAATCAAATCAATAAATAATTATAAAAAATATTATATAAATAAACATAAGTTATAAGTTGCACTTCCACATCGACAATAGAAAATATAATAATATCATTTTACTGAAACAAAAAAGTACAACTATTAAAACAAAAAGGAGTAATCTAGTTATGACAAAAAAAAATCATAACAGAGTGATCTATCACTCTAATCCTGAAAAAAAAAACTATATGAAAGTAATCTAATTATGAACAAAATTGTGTCATAATTTAGATCAATCCACTTCATTAGATAAAAAACTAAAAAGGAGTAATATAATTATGACTAAAAACAAAGTCATAATGTAGATCACTCCAAACCTGAAAAAAAAATGCTTCGATAGTCAATTAAATCCCTCATTTTACAATCACTGGGAAATTTCGGGAGACAAACAGTGTTTTGGTAGACAAAATCTCAATGTTTCCCTGACTTTCCAGGTGACCCCTCTATTTCACTGACTTTCCCTGACTGCTATGAGCTTCCCTGACTTTTCCCTGACTTTCCAGAATGTGGACACCCTGGTTATTATCTCTTTTAAATTTACGGGAATTATTCCGGTTAGGGCATACGTGGGGATACGGATCAAACACGTGGCGTCCATGTGTTGGACAAAAAGTATTTCATTATTATCAAGTGGCTTATAGTGTATCCCAATGTTGGGCAAAGCCCTACCCACTGTCATACCATTCATTTCGGTCTTATGTAAAATAAATCTATTCCGTTTCACACATTGCGGCCCGCCGGCCGGGGCGCTTGACGACAGCTGCGTGGCTCGTACCATGGTACTCAGTGCGCGTTGTGACAAACGACGCCCGCCATACAGAATGCGATAATTAAGCGACAGTCGCTATTGCAAGACATTTCATAATATTTATCAACTCTCGGCGAACAGACTTTACCTGTTCCTGCAGCAGCTGCTTCTCCTCGCGCAGCAGCTTGTGCAGCGAGTTGGCCTTGATCCGCTCCGACATCAGCTTGAAGTTGGCGTCGTCTTTCTCACGTAATTGCTGAATCAGCCGCGAGTTCTGCTCCTGCATGTCCTCGAAGGCCTGCCCGGTCACTTCCATCTCGTTCAGCAGGGCTTCTTCTTCCTGGGAACGAAAAAGCATATGTAATTAGATAGATAGATAAAGTCCGGTCGCCGAGCACATAGAATTTCGTCCAATGACCCCAAGCTACCCATCCTCGCGCGTAATTATATTGCTGTCGCGCTCGCAAACTCACTGAGGCCGCCCGTCGCACAGTTGCGACAACTCGGCGACCGGACTTTAGATAGAAAATACTCGTATTTATTTGTCTCAAACATTTAAAGTTTATTTAAAATTTAATAAGGGGAGAAATGATGTTCAAATATTGATGAAAGCCTAAAGGCGCTCTCAAACAAGAGGCGTGAGGAAGCGCTGCAGTGGTGCCACTGCACAGTGACACATGCGACTGCGCCTCAAGAAATTGTATGAAAACTAGTAATGGCGCGACAAACACGCCACGGTGAGCGCCACTGCAGCGTTCTTCGCGCCTCTAATTGGAAGGCATCCTAATGCCCTAATCATCCAACTATCGATTACAAAGATCACCAAAAAAATATGAACTTAAAGACTACTTGTTAGCCATAATACCTGAGATCCAGCAAACGGCCTAGAGAAGGCATGCAACGGGTCGGCGTTGGGCCGCGCACAAGACAACTGCTTCTGCAGCTCGTACTTCTGTTCCTCTAGTTGCTTGATCTTGCGCAACGCGTCTTCATCTGCTAAGCGCCGCTCACGCTTACTTTCCTGCAAATAAAATGAAATAAAGCATGAAATAAAGGTAAGAATACATTGCAAATAAGTAGATGGCGCTGTCAATCGTTTTAACATTTTTTTTATTACTACTCTTTTTCGAACTCCCATGTTCTTCTGATTAATTAATTTAGTTGCTGGTCTAGTGACTACACACACATGGTCATCTCTTTTGAACTGGAGGAACTTCGAACTGCTCCTATGTTCTTCTGATTAATTTCGTTGCAGGTGTAAATGACAGTTTAACTTTCGCTTTGACCTTCACTGGTTGGGTTTTTCTTGACGGTCAAGCTGTAGATTCTGGTTACACGCGAGTTGCAAGTGTTGCAACGGTGGGAACGAGAGATGGGGACAGTTCCAAAAGGACCTTATGATATGCGAATAGAGTTATTTCCCTCTGACTTAGGTACAGATTCACTTGTCTCGACATACCTGCGCCATCTTGGCCTTCTGGCGGTGGTCCTCGAGCTCCTGGCGCGCCTTGCGCTCGGCGGCCATAAGCTGCACCTTGTCGCGTTGTTCTTTGCTCACTCCTTGGACCTTACTACATGCGAATAGAGTACATTTCCCTTTGACTTGGGTACACATTCACTTGTTCCAACATACCTGCGCCATCTTGGCCTTCTGGCGGTGGTCCTCGAGCTCCTGGCGCCTCGGCGGCCATAAGCTGCACCTTGTCGCGTTGCTCTTTGCTCACCCCTTGACCTTACTACATGGGAATAAAGTACATTTCCCTTTGACTTGGGTACACATTCACTTGTCTCGACATACTCTGCGCCATCTTGGCCTTCTGACGTGGTCCTCGAGCTCCTGGCGCGACGAGCTGCTTCTGTCCATGCTTTTGCTCATCCCTCGACCTTACTACATACGAATAGAGTACATTTTCCTTTGACTTGGGTACACATTCACTTGTACCAACATACCTGCGCCATCTTGGCCTTCTGGCGGTGGTCCTCGAGCTCCTGGCGCGCCTTGCACTCGGCGGCCATAAGCTGCTTCTGTCGCGTGCTCTTTGCTCACCCCTCGACCTTACTACATGGGAATAGAGTACGTTTTCCTTTGACTTGGGTACACATTGACTTGTACCAACATACCTGCGCCATCTTGGCCTTCTGGCGGTGGTCCTCGAGCTCCTGGCGCGCCTTACGCTCGGCGGCCATAAGCTGCACCTTGTCGCGTTGTTCTTTGCTCACTCCCTTGTACATGTCCAGAAGGAGTTTCAACTCCTTCTGTTCATTCACCGCTTTCCTGTAGAGTGGAGATGGTGTGGTAAGTATGGGCAGAGTAAATACAAATGAGTAAATTTTGTCAGTGTGTGCGTGCGCGCCGCATACGTATTGGCGCGCTCACATACAAACCGCGCCCGGTGCGTTTCTATGAAGATAACCTACTCATTTGTATTTACTCTAGTATGGGCGTCAAATAACGCTCAGTTCACAGGAAAATCAAATAAGGGCCTCCGTTAAAACTTGCGCGGTTGTCAGCTCCAGTTATCCTACACGAAAATACAAGCCCACTCGCCGCGTTTGTGGCTGTCACACGAATGCGGGCGATCTCGCGACTTTTAGCGGAGGCTCTAAAAGTTCATTATCATAAAATAAAGCTACCATAGTATGATAATGATGTTTATGATAGCTTTGAACACCAAAGCACTGGTACACTCCAATGAAAAGGGCTATTATAAGTAAAAGACTGTATATTACATCAAATAAAAATATTATGTGAACAATTATTATTGTCGACCACTGTCTAATGTTGTATACTTTTGAACTTTTAAAAAGAAGGCAGATGGAACTGACCTCTGGTAAATTACAGGTCGTGTTCCTACAGTGAATACCTACTGAATGAGCCGACGATGAACATTAAAATGACAATCTAAAAGTATTTGATGCAAAAGTTAAAAGAGTGAAACCTTTATTCCAGTAACATTTGGGTTCCAGCCGTTTGCACAGTTGCAAAATTTCGAGGGTATACGTAAAACTATAAAACTCATTTATTTATGCAAACAAGCTTTGAAAAAACACTTTTACACGTCCCAGTATTAACCCTACCTCTGCTTCGGGGCAATAAATGGGCCAGTGCTGAGAAGAAGCAGCGCACGAAACTCAGTCACTATTGTCAGCCTCCTTTTCAAGGGTTTACAGTCTTTATAGTTTATAGTTTACAGTTTTTTAAGGGTTTCAAAGTGACCGACATAGCTTGCAGAATTGCTAAAATCAAGTGGCAGTGGGCGGGGCACATAGCTCGTAGAGACGATGGCCGTTGGGGCAGAAAAGTTCTTGAGTAGCGACCACGGGCTGGAAGACGTAGCGTGGGCAGGCCTCCTACTAGGTGGACCGACGATCTGCTAAAGGTCGCGGGAAGAGCCTGGATGCATTGCGCAGGACCGTGCATTGTGGAAAACCTTGGAGGAGGCCTTTGTCCAGCAGTGGACGTCATTTGGCTGAAACGAACAGTCATTATAAATACCGAAGTGCTGGGTACGAAATATAGAGCTTGGTACCAACTTGAGCTGCTGCTTGAGCTCCTTGATGATCTGGTCCTGCTCCTGCAGCTTGGCGCGCGCGTGCTCCTTGCCCTTGGCCTCCGCGCCCGCGCCGCTGCTGCCCTCCGACCCCTGCCGAACATACCCGAGGAGTTACGACCTTTATGTGTACAGGCGACAGCACACCAGGCGTTAGTACGTATTTCCATGGCAAGGATCCAACCCACAACTTCACTCATATTGGGTTGAATCCTTTTCATGGATATACAGTACAGGGTGTTAGAAATTTCCGACTTCACCATACCATTTATATGACCATGTTAACATCATGTTAACATGGGCTAGTGTCGGCTCATATACCCATTTACCTAACACCCTGTATATACGTCTGTACTTATAAAGGTTTGACCAAAATAAAGCGTGCAGCCTAAAGGCTGCACGCCTTGATTTGGTCGAACCTTAACAGTCAGCGTCAAATAGCTCGTGACGCACAAAGTGGGCAAACCAGCCTTACTCCGATAGGCTAGTTTCTTAAAAAAATATATGCCAGATTTCACCTTAAATTCCAAATTTTTAAGTGACCCCTATGGTAACACATAACAGGAATTTTGTTTTCATAGGGGTCACTTAAAAATGAGGGATTCATGGTGAAAACTGGTACTAGGGAGTTTTGAAGTTCCACGTGACGTCACAAAGTGCTACACTCACGACGTCACGTGCCTCTTCATCTCCTTCCATTTTCATTACTTTGAAAAAGTGAAAAATACACGTTGATTATTTTTTTCATAAGTTAAATTGCTAATTCAAATTCTTACTTTTTAACAAAGGCTTTTTATACCCAGGAAAGATCACTATTGTTGGCAACTTATTGGCTACTTTGGGTGTCACGAAATATTTGACGCTGACTGTACAACCACGTAAATGCCCCAGTGTTTGCTTTGATGTGCTGTCGTCTGTACTAGGGAGGGTGATATGGGTGATGATGACCGGGATACGTCAAGCAGTTCTTTGGAGATGAAACCTAACAGCTAACACGTTCACATTGCGACATTGATACTAGGTCACGGAGGTCAGGGCATGCACTGGCCTTTCTAAATAATGGGATTTGAATTAGGCGTAGTTTTAGTAAAACGTTTACGATTCCTTGCGTTGTCCTGGTATTCCTAATAATTCTAGCCGAAACTTTAGTGGATTAAAAACTCTTAAAGAATGTTACAAGAGAATTACCACCACCACCAATACTTAAAGCACAAAACAACTTTTGGGAATCGAATAAGGCTAGCTAGGTTATTAAGTTAGTAGTTTTAATTATCACACCAATGAACTTTACCCCAAATCAATCGTACTTGTTAGATGCAACTAGGAAGTACAGGGCTGGCGCATATGTGAGTCAGTGGCTCAGTTATGGGAGCGACACGTGAGTGTTTTTGTGACGTCAAATGTCAGCGAGACTTCAGCTTTAGATTTGTATGCTCTGTCACATCTTATATCACCTCTCCCGTGCCGCTTCCATATCTCAGACACTGATTCATTTATGCGCTAGACTTGTAGTTACTAATTATATAGGTATTAGTAATGTATGTTTGCATGTATATTGAGATCTAATAACTAAGACCAATACAACAGACCATTCACCATGAATTCTAACAAAATAACTACATTAAAATGTGATAGTAAATTGTTAATAATCTGTGGTAAATGACTGATAGATAGATGTCAGAACTAGTTTTATGTCATTAGATACCACTTGCCCACGACTTTCTGAAAAGCGGCAAGAAAATAAGCAGAAACGAAACGCGGCGTTGCTCATGTTCAAATTGTATATTAAATATAGAAAGACAAAACAAGCGTAACGTTTAGTTACTGCTGGTAGCGGTAAGTTCGCGGCCAAGCGGTAATTAGCGATGCCAAATCTGCACTCCTCCAGTTGGAGTCAGTAAAAAAACAATTTAGTAATTTGCATTTTGTGACAAAATTACAAATTTCAAATTACTGATTCTTATTATAAACTGGAGTACCGCACTCGCACGATTTCTATGCCGCAAGTGTCGCCACTTACACAACGTATGTTAACGTGACAAACGAGTCTAAGCACTATTGACGGTACACTAAATATAATTTCCCAGTACTCACTACAGACTACTCGTGCCACTCTGGCTTACCTCGGGATCGGGTTCTTCCTTTTTAACGGCCAACGGTTTTTCCTCAGTGGCTTCAGTCCCCGCCACGCGGCCGGCCGAGTCTTCCATCTCTTTCCGCAACTAGGCAAAACATCAAAATCCAAATCTAACTTTATCATGCTGCCGTTCTCTCGGTGTTCCACCGTACAACGTCTGTTCTTATACAAATCTTCACATAATTTTCGCGTACGACAGCAATATTGTCAACTCGACGGTTCGCAAACGACGGCGACGTATGACAGATGTCTGTTTCGTGGCATCCCTTGATGAGTGACAGAGATGGATAGTGCATACATCGACATCGTTTGGCGCCGGAGGACGTCTCATATTGTCCGCGCCTGTGGTGACAGGGGACTGGTAATTCGCACAGGTGTAGGGATGTTGCGGATGTGGACTTTTGTGGACGATTGACCGTAACATCCCTGCTGCCGACTGATCAATATAATATCGGCACGTGACAGCACGCCGATTGTCATGGTCCTCAAACTAATATCCTCGTGCTAGGAAGTACCAGACGATGGAATTTTGTCTGAGCTACTTCTACACCGCCGCGGGTCAATGTAGAAAACGTCGTTTCCCAAATTGACCCGAGGGAATAGTCGCATCACTACCTCGAGACGAGTACATGCTAACTCGCCCGATACTACTGTACTACACAGACATGAATTACCTTCGAGCCTGGAGTCTCCGCTGGTCCAGTGAACTATAAAAACCTGTGTGGAATCAATAGTCAATAATATTTCACGCAAGAGTAGCGTGTAATACCTTGTTGAGTTCTTGGCTGGAGTCCTTATACTTCCGCTTATACCGGTGCACTTCGCCTTTTAGTTGCTGGTTGTGGTTCTGCAGCGAGGTGATGAGGTGTCGCATCTCGCGGTTGATGGGCCCGGTCTGCTCGTTGGCGGCGAGATTCTGCTCGAACTCGATGCGCAGCATTTCGTACTCCTTCCTCAGCTGGCCGAGCACGTCTTCCAGCTGGATCATCTCGGCGCGGAGAGCCTTTTGGCGCGCTAGCTCCTCGCTCTGAAATGGTTTTGAAATTTTGTTATTAAATAGCAACAACAGTAATAGGCCAGTAGAATTAAACACAAAAATTGATTAAATCGGAAATAATTCCTATAAAAGTTTTTTTTGCTTTAATTGCTTCATTGGTTGCCCATTAAGACTCTCCTAAGTTTTCGACTTCGAAGGAGTTGTGCTTAAGTGGTGGGGGCCCCCGAAAGCGGCGTTTTTTCGGTTTTCCGGTTATACCGCGTAAAGGACTTACCCTATCGAAAAGTGGTCTTCATGACGGTTAAAGGGCACTTAATCCTGCATTGAATAAGACCAAATTCATATGTTTTGGACAAACCGTTCTCGCGCTAAAGTTCGGCAAAGTAGAAAATATACGTATAATTAATGACCCTCTCCACGTCCAATGGCTTGTTACCCACATGCTTCCAAGCCTTGTAAAGGGTCGCCTTAACCAGTGTAACCCTAACAAGGCTCACGAGTTTGATTCGCTTATCCTTGTTCGTCCCAGCCGTTCCTTAACTGCGGTTGCTGCACCTCTTCCTGACACTCTCCTGAACGACTCTGTGTTACCTAATGTGGCTGCATCTCTTCCTTGTACCCTCCTGTACGATTAAAAACTGCAAGGATTCTGGGGGTTTTAAGAGTTGGGGTGGACAGCAACGCTACTTAAGTTGCCGATACAAACAAAAAAACAGAAATATTTGAAAAATGGTGGTCGTGGTAATGCAAAATATCATAAGGGGTGTCAATATTCGAAGAATTTCGTAATTTATTGTGTAAATTAAAAAATAATTGAGATAGATTTTTTTCCTTATTTTTCCTAAAGTAGTCATGACCATGTCCATCCTGCGGCGCCGGCTTATCCTTGAATTTGGGGACACGTTGACTTTTCAGATAGATCCAGTTAATTCTGTAACCTATTACTGATATCGTTTGAAAGAGCTCGTGAAGCACTTTCAAGATCAGTAAGCAGTTTTTCGATATCTTGTGTAGTTTAGAAATAATCGAATGAGATCACTTATCGTTTCCACCCTGTATTAATAGCACTCACAGTGAACTGCTCACTAGTCTGCACTCAATAATCAAATCAATAAATAATTGTAAAAAAAATATAAATAAACAAAAGTTATAAGTTGCCATTACACATCGACAATAGAAAATATATCATTTTACTGAAACAAAAACGTACAACTATTAAAACAAAAAAGTGTAATCTCGTTATGACAAAAAAAAATCATAACAGTCTATTAATCTATCACTCTAATCCTGAAAAAAAAACTATATGAAAGTAATCTAATTATGAACAAAATTGTGTCATAATTTAGATCAATCCACTTCATTAGATAAAAAACTAAAAAGGAGTAATATATCCTATAGCCTTCCTCAATGTATGAGCTATTCAACACAAAAATAATGATTTCAATCAAACTAGTAATTCTTAAGATTAGCGCGTTCAAACAAACAAACAAAAAACTCTTCAGCGTTTTAATATGAACTTGTTGTTGTTGATTTTTGGCGTCGAACCTTAGACCAGGCATACGGCTAGGCAACGTAGTCATGCAGGAGGATACAAGGAAGAGGGGCAGCCACAGTAGGTAACACAGAGTCGTTCAGGTGAGTGCCAGGAAGAGGTGCAGCAACCGCAGTTAAGGAACGGCTGGGACGAACAAGGATAGGCGCATCAAGCTCGTAAGCCTTGATAGGGTTACACTGGTTGAGGTGGCCCTTTTCAAGACTTGGAAGCCTGTGGGTAACAAACCATTGGACGTGGAGAGGGTCATTAATTATACGTATATTTTCTACTTTGCCGAACTTTAGCGCGAGAACGGTTTGTCCAAAACATATGAATTTGGTCTTATTCAATGCAGGATTAAGTGCCCTTCAACAGTCATGAAGACCACTTTTTGATAGGGTAAGTCCTTTACGCGGTATAACCGGAAAACCGAAAAAATGCCTCTTTCGGGGGCCCCCACCACTTAAGCACAACTCCGTCGAAGTCGAAAACTTAGGAGAATCTTAATGGGCAACCAATGAAGCCATTAAAACAATAAAATCTTTTGTAGGAATTATTTCCGATTTAAAAGCTAATTCTACTGGACTATAACAGACTCAGGTCGTCCGTGGTAAGGACAATCTGTTCAGGTGGGGATTCTTGGATGGCTCAAACTTGGGAGTGCAAGTGTGGTTTTGTTCCCCAGTCGACGAAGCACATGATGTCGTGCCCAAACAACTGCACGCAGGAAGATTTAATGAAAGCTACTGACAACACCACTCTCGTGGCGGAGTTTTGGGCTGAAACTGTGTGTGTAGGTTTGTTGTCGACACGACAAGAAGAAATAACAACAAATTATTGAAAAAATATCACATCAACAACTATCTTCTGGTACAAAAATATCCAAGAAATTTGTGTTGGGACCTTAGGTATAAACAACACTATGTAGATTAGTGTTGTATGTATAGAGTGGTTGTAATATGAAATACAAATCATACAAGTGCACGTTAAGTTGAGATATGTTTCCTCTTTCCACTCTCCCAGTGGCGCCTGTATTGTAGTATTGAAGACAATCGTATATGTAATGCTAAGCAAGTGGCTTAGTTCTCAACTAAGACAGGCCACATAACTTAGTAAACAGTTACATTTAAAAATATAGCCCTAATTCTGACGCGTAAAAAATTTCCAGTAGAGTAAAAAACCCGTAACTAACATAATATGGTTGTGCAAAAAAGAACTGAATTTTTACTTCGAATAATAAATAAATAATTTAAGAGCAGCCATGCGATACGATATCTCCGTTTAGCATAAGAGGTCACCTTGCGCAAATCTGTCTACTTAAGATGGGCATATGATTTGAATAATTGCACCTTTCTTACGACGCATATCCTGTCACAATAACGAGACAGTAGGGATCTGCATTTCAGTTCAGCAAACAAAGACAAATTATACTTTTGAAATACTGTTCAATAATGTAGTAATGTAAAGATATTGACGGCATTTTAAATGCATAATATGTTGTGTATTTCTTCACCACTAAATTCAAAACGAACTTTTGACTAAAATTCATCATCAGCCTATACCAGTCTTTCCCAAAGTGGGCGATAACGCCCCCTTGTGGGCCCTGCAGACTTAAAGGGGGGCGGTAAGAGACCCAGAAAAAAAAATTGGGACGTTGTGTATAGTGTCCGACCGAATATGGATTTTCAGCCGAAAACGGAAACGAAAACGAAGCTTCGGCTGCAGTCTCATTTTCGGCCGAAAACGAAAACGAAAATGACCTTCAACTCTCAAATTTTAATCTGAAATTATGTAAAAACTTTAAAAACCGTTATTGTTTTGACCAAAAACATAATGACGTTTGACAGTTGATTTTGATAAGGATTGATTAAAGAAAACCGGCATTAAAACACAAAAAATTTAATCATGAATTCTTAGTAGAATATTATATCCGGTGTATATTGAAATATTGGGAAGTGAAGAAGAAATAAAGGGTGTCCAGTGGGAATTTTTCAACTTCAAAAATGAATACAAATAAATTAATGATTGTAACGGCCCTCCAAACACTAGTATTGTATAATCTGTGCTCTGACGCTCGGATTCGCATTTGGCGGGCTTGAGTTTCGCGGGTTCGCGCGCTCACCAGGCGCGCTCTTTTCAACGGCCGCCGCGCTTTGTGGTCCGCGAAACTCGACCTTATTGGCCGGTCGCGCCCATTTGCCTCGACGCGTGCGAACGAGCTATCGGTTTAATGGTTATAAATAAATTATAAATGTAAATCCGCCATTACAATTGCGCCCAACGAGTGGCCTCGCGTTCTAACTTCGAGAACGTTCGAGAGAAACCACAAGTACCGCGACCCCAGTGAGTCGTGTTGATTGAAAATTGTGTTGAAGTGAGAAAATGCCACCGAAGACACGCCGAGGCACGGCGCTGCCATCAGGTTCGCGATGAATTCCGCTGTAACGGCGAGTACTGGACATTCACCAGCTTACCTCACCTTCGGGAGAGAGCTGCGAGCCCCGTCTGACGCGGTGGCTGATATGAAGGCCATCGCGGAGAGCGACAACTTCGTGGCGAGCATCACACCCTACCTGCGGAAGCTGTCCACCGCGCTGCTGGAGGCCCGCGACGTGCACGAGCGCGCGCAGGCCACCCAGAAGGCGTGCGCAGACGAAGGTAGGCGCGCACCCCCGGATTATAAGGTGAGTGACCTTGTTTTGTTAAAGACCCAAGGGCCCAACGACGCCGCACCTGGCCAGACCGCTAAGTTCATACCCCGCAGGGATGGACCCTATCGCATTCGCGAGGTTGTTAGTCCTACGACTTACCTGCTGGAGGGGATTAGGAACAGCGAACTCATAGGTCGCTATCACGCATCCAACCTAAGCCCATTCATCGGTGACGTAGAGGCCCCTGTTAGGGAGAAGCGTAGGCGCGGACGCCCACGCAGGTATAGTCCTAGTCCGAACGCGAGGACGCTGTGTTCGAACTAGAGGGGGAGTATGTAACGGCCCTCCAAACACTAGTATTGTATAATCTGTGCTCTGACGCTCGGATTCGCATTTGGCGGGCTTGAGTTTCGCGGGTTCGCGCGCTCACCAGGCGCGCTCTTTTCAACGGCCGCCGCGCTTTGTGGTCCGCGAAACTCGACCTTATTGGCCGGTCGCGCCCATTTGCCTCGACGCGTGCGAACGAGCTATCGGTTTAATGGTTATAAATAAATTATAAATGTAAATCCGCCATTACATGATTTTTTATTATTTATTACAAATTAATGCAAACTGGAGTTTAACAATGCGAACTTAATTTTTTATAGGCAATGTCTTAGATGATTCCCGTTTTACTATAGGCACTCTCACAGCCGGACCCTTACATTCACAACTATGCGAGAGCCAATCGCGCTAATAATTTTCCTGCAACTTCACGGCGGATATTTTCTTACAGAACCTGAATTATTTAAGGATTGTTTGCTGTAAACTATTGACTTGAGATATCCCCACAAGAAAAAGTCGCATGCATGGTGTGAGATCTGGTGACCGAGGCTACTAGGGCATGTACCCCTGTACTTGCTAATCATTTATTTGAAAAAAAAAATAGTCCTAAGTGTCTCCATCGAGGTAATCTCCGTGTGTGGTGAGACACCTTCTTGCTAAAATAGAGCTACGTAGTTGACCGGGATGCAGTTGCAGTTGTGGTATCAGACATTCATCGATCATTCGACAATACATTTCAAATACTTATTGCTCAACTGCGAACGCTCTGTAGGCTCCCGCCCGACCAGTGACTCATGGCGTATTTCAAATCCGCATTAGACTCTATTTTGAAACAATTAAACTTAATGAAAACTCTTTGGTTTTATTTGTATTCAATTTTGAACTTGGAAAATTCTCACTGGACACCCTTTACAACGTAACCTCACTTCACAACTTCAAAAGAGTGTGACAATACCACGTCCGTTCAAGTCTGATTGGAACCATGAGTGCACCAAATTCACTCCCGAAGATATCGGAACGATAAACGTCACCATCTTATTCAAGTATTTCTGATATTCGGTTTGGCCGAAGCTTCGGCTGGTTTTTGGCCGAAAACGAAAATAGGCCGAATGTCCATTTTTTGGCCGAAAATGGCCGAAAACGAAAACGAAAACGAATATTCGGTCGGTCACTAGTTGTGTAGAGGCTTGGGAGGCGTCATCTACTAGGAGTCATCTTAGACACCGACTGAGCTCGACTCTTGACTACAAAAATGGGGGGCGCTAAAAAATTTTTTATTCTCAAAGTGGGCAGTAGACTAAATAAGTTTGGGAACCGCTGGCCTATACCAACGTCCTTTTGCAAGCAGTCCTTCACTACGCATGTGAAGTCGAAATCTCTCCTCATGAACTCATATACGTTTTTTAATTCGGTCCAGTCAATAATATACAGGGTGTAAAAAAGTATTGACCAAATTCTTGGGGGTGGTTCAGAGTCGAGTCTAGAATACTGGAATTTCGAATAGGATTATTATAGGTCACGCACTTAACTCAGCCTGAGGTATTGGAGCAGCACGGGAGTAGTGACATTGACATATTATAACGTGCCAGAGCATATAAATCTGACTGAAGGGGATCTGAAGTCTCGCTGACATTTGATGTCTCAAAAACAGCCTCCCATGCCGCTCCCATACTAGGCACTAACCTATAATATTTCGTTCGTTCGTTTCAGCCAAATGACATCGACTGCTGGACAAAGGCCTCCCCCAAGGTTTTCCATAATGAGTTTTCTATAATATTTACCTCCATCATTTCAATCTGCCTCATATGCAGGTTCTTGGCGTTCTGAAGCTGCAGCCTCGTCTCGTCGAGCGCCGTCTTCATCTGCATGGACTCGTTGTACAGCACCGAGAACTGACTCTGCAGGCATTTGTACTCCGTCGTCTCCACTATCACAGACTCTGGCAGCTGGCGGATCTGGAAAATAAACATACATGGCATATATTTTATTGGGGGCGCACGCGCTACTCTGGAAGGCTTGAAGGAGCAATTACGTTTGTAAATACAGGGTGCGCGACTAGCTCAAGGGCGAGCTAGTTCACGAACGAGCTAAATCACTGGCGAACTAGTTTACAAACGAGCTAACTCACTGGCGAACTAGTTCACAAACGAGCTAACTCACTGGCGAACTAGCTCAAGGGCGAGCTAATTCACGGACGAGTCAACTCACTAGCGAGCTAGTTCAAGGGCGAGCTAGTTCATGAACGAGCTAACTCACTGGCGAGCTATCTTAAGGGCGAGCTAATTCAGGAACAAGCTAATTAACTGGCGAGCTAGTTCACGACCGAGCTAACTCACTGGCGAACTAGTTCACGAACGAGCTAACTCACTGGCAAGCTAGTTCAAGGGCGAGCTAGTTCACGAATGAACTAACTCACTGGCGAGCTAGTCTATGAACGAGCTAACTCACTGGCGAGCTACTTCAAAGGCGAGTTAGTTCAGGCACGAACTAACTCACTGGCGAGCTGCTCCTTGGCGCTGACGACGGAGTGCGGGCGGGTCACTACTCACGTCCATCTTCAGCTTCTCGAGCTCCTTGAGCGTGTCGCGGTGCTGGCGGTGCAGGCGGTCGAGCTCGGCCAGGCGGTTGGTGGCCAGCTCGCGCTGCTCCTCCAGCTCGGCCGCCACGTCCTCCAGCTTGGCGCTGGCGGCGGAGTGCGGCGCGGGCCCGGCGGCCGGCGCGGCGCTGATCGTGGCGCCCGACTGGTGGTAGCTCTTCAACTTCTCGATGGCCTCGGCGAGGTGGTTCTCCAGCTTGTCGTTCCGCGACCGCACCTGTGGAAATTGGAGATGTGAGTCCTGGAGGTCGTCACTTGTTTCGCCTAAAGTTTCGTGCCGCAATTAATACGCACATAGACAATGGTTGGTAATAGCTTTCAAAGAATACAAAGGGGAGAGAGACTACAGAGGGGTTAAGTTTAAACCAAGTAATTCTTCATGACCCACATTAGAGGAGACTGACTGATCTGAGACCACAGAAGCGTTTAGTTCAAATCATTCATTTCATACCTTCATGAGCTCGCTGCAGGTCATGGATCTGATTCTTCAGCTCAGCGTTCTCTGTGTCCCGGCTGTTGACGGAGTCTTGGAGCCGCGCCACACGCAGCGTCATTGGCATGTTCTTACCACAAGGTTAGTCTTAGTCTAAATCAAGCCATACCTTCATGAGCTCGTACTGCAGGTCATCAATCTGGTTCTTCAGCTCAGCGTTCTCATGTCCCGGCTGTTGAGGGCATCTTGAAGCCGCGCCACACGCAGCGTCATGGCATGTTCTTACCACAACATTAGCTTAGTCTAAATCAAGCCATACCTTCATGAGCTCATACTACAGGTTCTTGAGCTCATCGTTCTCCGTTTCACACCTGTTGATGGCATCCTGTAGGCGCGCCACACGCAGCGTCATGACGTAGTCTTACCACTAGATTACAAGACGGTTAGTTTTAGTCAAGTTAGTCCAAGCCAAGCCATACCTTCATGAGCTCATACTGCAGATCGTCAATCTGGTTCTTCAGCTCAGCGTTCTCCGTGTCCCGGCTGTTGACGGCGTCTTGAAGCCGCGCCACACGCAGCGTCATGGCATGTTCTTACCACAAGATTAGTCTTAGTCTAAATCAAGCCATACCTTCATTAGCTCATACTGCAGGTCGTCAATCTGGTTCTTCAGCTCAGCGTTCTCCGTGTCCCGGCTGTTGACGGCGTCCTGGTAACTGACTGATCCAAGACGTAGTCTTAACTAAACCAAAGAGCGATGCCATACCTTCATGAGCTCATACTGCAGGTCGTCAATCTGGTTCTTGAGCTCAGCGTTCTCCGTGTCCCGGCTGTTGACGGCGTCTTGAAGCCGCGCCACGTGCAGTTGACTGACCTGAAACGTCTTAACTACTAAACCACAAAGCACTTAATACCTTCATAAGCTCGTACTGCAGGTCATCGATCTGGTTCTTCAACTCTGCGTTCTCCGTGTCCCGGCTGTTGACGGCGTCTTGAAGCCGCGCCACACGCAGCGTCATGGCGTGGTGTCCTTCGTGCAGCGCCGTGCACAGCGCCTGCAGCCGGCGCGACTCCGCCGTGACCTCCGCGTTGGTCGCACGCACCACCTCATCGAGAGCCGGCGCGGGCGCACCCTCTGTGGCAAAGATCATCAAGGCTGCTCAACCTTTTGAGTGGATACAGTCGTTAACGACGGGCCACTTACATAACATTTCCTATTTCAGTTAAGTACTCTTAGGACATGTATAGGCTCCTTAAGAGCATTTAACGATTTGCAAGAACTAATTTAATTAGTCTAAACAAATAAAGATAATTTTGATTTTGATTTGATTGATTTTTGAATTTGGACAATCGCAATAAAAACTCAATGAGGGCTATCGTTTTAGCGCTCACCAGTTAGCGCCACTGTAGAGTAAGGTCCTGTCACTTGCTAGTAGCGAAGACAGTGGCACCAACTGGTGAGCGCGAAAGTGGTAGGAGGACTATCGTATTTGCACTCATGAAGATGGCGCCACTGTAGAGTAAGGTCCTGTCAATCGCCAGGGGTGCCAACTGTTAAGTATAAAAACGATAGCCCTCATTATTAAGATCAAACCATACCTTGTGCAGGGCACTTAAAATTCTTTCTGGGGGCCTGGGGTTGAGCAGACTTACAGCAGATTAGACAGCTCTAGCGCTCAACTAAGAGAGTGCCTGATGTATGGGAGCAGCACGGGAGGGGTGATTTTGACATATTATAATGTGACACTGACAGAGCATACAAATTTTGACGTAATAAATATCATTCTCTGCACTAAGGTAAGCGCTAGAGCTATGTTATATAATACTTTTGTTTAATGGCTTCAGAAATAACTAGCGTCTAGCCTGGGAGAGGAAAAGTGGAATGAAATGGAAAAGGCTTTCATTCAATCAGGGATCCCACAACTTTATGTCATTGGCAAACTTTGTAAGCCATTCAATGGGGTGTATTTGAAGAACAGTTGTTTTGCTTATGTCTAGTGTTTCAAGAGACACAGTGGAGTTTGAATAATTGCCCCAAATATTGAAATTACTATTCCTGCTTGAATATTATTATTCCAGTTATCTTTGCGTAAATGTTGCTGCATGTGTTGTCTGAGATACATTATTACGGATTCTATGCGACATAAGTTCATCTCAATAACAAAATGGGCAACATTGTATCGTCATGCATTATGTAAATAAAGAGCATTGAGTGAGTTTTTATTGTTGGAGAATATCTTGTATCCAAATGTTTAGGTTTAGCATTATTTTACATGACATGTTTATTTTGTGTGTAACTGATTTATACTTTTTTGCTATAGGAGCATTCCACGCGAAGCGGACAGGTAAAAAAAGTCGATGTTTCCGATTTCAGTAATATTTGAGTATGTTCTACCTATACATATTATTGATACGTGTACCAAATATTTTTGTAATATAATGACTAGTTTAAGAGTTATGGGTCTTCGAAGTTTTCGGCAACCGGTTGGCATGCAGTAATTCAAAGCCGATTATGGAGTCATAAAATTACATATTAAAATAATTAAACCACGGGATTTATTACTTCATTTACCGTGCTTTTTAACTGTATTTTTGGAAACGAAAAAAAAATTATTTTTTCCTAAAAAAAATGCAAATTAATTTTTTTTCCTTGATTTTCACAAAGTTCGACCCTTTCGATTTTTTTAATTTTTTTTTATTTAAATAGCTAATATTGTGTAGAACATTCATGCCAACTTTCAAAGTGGGCGTGGAAGTGGATTCGGAACTAGACTGAAAATACTGCCGAAGGGTGGCGTCCAGCGCCGCGCCGTCGCGCTGCCGCGCCTGAAGCCCGCCGCCTGTGCGCGTTTAGTGGAACTGACAAGCAAATAAAATCACTTTTGACGAAATGTTTTTTAGATTTTTAATAACACCAATACATTTTTAGTACCTATTAAATACTAAAAAATTCGTTATGGCCAGGCTTGTTCTTACTCGGACACTGAAAGGATCGCTCCGAACTCCGAAAATCGGTCAAATGAACTAGTTCGGTCTTCTAGTACTATTAACTAGCACATTTTAGTACACTGATTCTATTAGGTAGATCGAACGAAAAAAGTCTTTATTCATATGCATTTATGGTCCGATATCGAAAAATACTCGCTACACACTCACAGAGCCGAATCCATCTCGCTCGCGCGCGGTTGTCACCAATTTCACGTCTCGTTCACACCTATTCATTAGTGATCGGCTGTACTAAAGTGAACTAAAAGACCGATTTGAACGACCAAGACGGAATAGTTCGTTCTCGTTCACTTAATTAAAGGAATTGCTTCCTATTAGTACATAGTACATGTACTACACAAGCCTAGTTATGGCGTATCCGCACATGCCGGGCGGCACGGCCGGTTCGGTTCGGTTCTGGGTATTAGTCCTGACCTAAATTAACTGGTGGATCTATTAATCCGGTCCACAATATCTTCTAATTACCAATAATTTACGACCTTTCAAAAGACTAGATAGAATGAAAGGTCTAGTATTCATTATATCTAAAAATTATTATGAGCCACTTAATTTCATAGGAATAGGATGAAAGCACTGACGACCGTCTGCCTCCCACATAATCGCCTTTTGTAACTCGAAAGGTATAAAAATAACAGCTCATTCTATTTTTGTTAGGAAATATTCACAGTTACGAGTAATGTAATTTATTTTTCACGATACGGAAAAACGCAACTTTATTTACTACTACTACTTTATTTTATAACGTATTTTAGTATTTAATAGGTATTAAAAATGTCTTGGTGTTATTAAAAATCTACAAAACATTCCGTCAAAAGTGATTTTATTTGCTTGTCAGTTTCACTAAACGCGCACAGGCGGCGGGCTTCAGGCGCGGCAGCGCGACGGCGCGGCGCTGGACGCCACCCTTCGGCAGTATTTTCAGTCTAGCTCCGAATCCACTTCCACGCCCACTTTGAAAGTTGGCATGAATGTTCTACACAATATTAGCTATTTAAATAAAAAAAATTAAAAAAATCGAAAGGGTCGAACTTTGTGAAAATCGAGGAAAAAAAATTAATTTGCATTTTTTTTAGGAAAAAATATTTTTTTTTCGTTTCCAAAAATACAGTTAAAAAGCACGGTAAATGAAGTAATTAATCCCGTGGTTTAATTATTTTAATATATAATTTTATGACTCCATAATCAGCTTTGAAGTACTGCATGCCAACCGGTTGTCGAAAACTTCGAAGACCCATAACTCTTAAACTAGTCATTATATTACAAAAATATCTGGTACACGTATCAATAATATGTATAGGTAGAACATACTCAAATATTACTGAAATCGGAAACATCGACTTTTTTTACCTGCCCGCTTCGCATGGAATGCCCCTATAACCAAATTTGACAACAAGGAATTAGTTTCAGCACATAAGTATTAAAACGATAAAATAGACTGTTATTCATACCTTCGCCTTCTCCCTTTATAGCGCGCCATATCTTATCGTTCCGCTGCTGGAGCCTGTCAAACGCCTGGAGGACTTTTGCCACTGCTCGTTTGCTCACTTGCACTCGGTTCGCTAGCTGAGCGTCAAGCTCCTCTTTGTCCCACGTCGACAATTGCATTAAAAACGAAGTGGTCGCTTCATTTTCATCTAAAATATTAAATGTCTTTTTATAACTATGATTGTACTTTAAATATTTGTATAATGTTCAGTTATTCGTTTAATTTAATCATGATAGATGCCTATAGCAGCTTGTGATTCATATAACCTAAACTTTCATAACATTTTGTTTGATTGTGATTAACAATTTTACTTTTAATTAAAGATTAAAACAGGTACAACTGTGTGAGGAGCACTTATTTATTTGCTATGATTTTAACAAACATTTTTTTCTTTAAATCTAACCATACTGTGTAGGATTATACAAAACCAACACTGTGAACACTGGAACTGTGAAAACTAACCACAAATGCATTTGTAGTATGTGTACGCGCCAAACCTATATATTTGACGTTGCTGCGTAAACTGACTCACACACAATATACTCGCATCGTACAGTATAAACTACTTTCATTGACAACTCCCGGTCCCCACATTACATGGCGACCCTGCCAGTGCTGCCTTAGGGCAGTGCTGTGCAATTAAATAATGAATTAATTGGTGTTAAAAAAAAGGAGGTACAAAACGATGTCGAATCCTTCAGTTTGATCATGGTGCAAACGAGATTTCTCTGTGTAAGCTGTTGGAGGTCAAAAATACCTTAAAAGAGGACTCGTTTATAAAAAATAAGGGCACAAGGTACAGTCAAGGGTATCAGATCCTTCATTTGATCATGGTGTAGACGAGTTTCTCTCTGTGAAAATAGTTGGAGATCGAGTGATCTTAAAACATGACCCTTAATAAGTCTATGCATAGCAACAAAGACTAAAATGTCTTATTATAAAAAGTCGACTATAAAATAAACAGACTGTACCTAAAATAAAATAAATAAAAAAGTGTTATGAATAAAAAATAGAGCTGGCCAGCCTAAATAAAAAATATGTGTCCATATACCCAATAAGAGGTATATAAATAAATAAATAAAAATAGTACCTACCTAAATAAGTGAATATGCCAAGTAAGAAGATATTATTATTATGCCCAAGAGGTAATAAATATAGGAGAATGTAAGAAAGATTATGTTTATTGAGATGTGTTTAAAAAAAAGTTAAGATTGTGTTGTGTGTGCAAAACCTTTTACAGGCAATGTTATATGATTGAGAAATATTTATCATTGTTAAATATGGAAAGTAAATGGCAAAGTTATAAATATTTTAGTTTCAATTGTTTCGATACAATTTTGAAGTTATGGAACTGATATAGTAATAATATGTTTTAACATTTGTAGAATTGATAATTTGAGAATAATATTTTGAGATAGTTTAAGAGTAATGTTATATTAAGTTACCAATTAATTAGGTTCCCACTATACCATTTTTTTAATTGTAAAAATAATGTTGATCTTTAATTATGAAAGATAGAACTCTTGAATTAAACTAGAAAATAAATATTTCATTTAAAGGCAAATTGGTAATTGAATATTATGAAACAAATTATGTCTAATGAAATACATTTTTCTGTTAAAACTGTAATTATTAAATAACTGTAATAAAGTAAATACTGTACTGGAATAATTACATACGCCAATAAGTAAAATCAATATGTAAATGTAATTTGACCCGACTACTTGATTGATTGATTTGACTTTACTATTAATTATTATTATAAGTACATTTTATGACTATTAAAAAAAACGTTATTTTTGTGTAACGTAAGAAAACTTTGCGATGTGTAATTTTTGTGTTGATGTTTGATTGAACCTTTGAAACAATTATTTTTTTAAAAACATAAATATTGACTGTTTTGTTAATTTGGAAATAATGAAATTCTTTTAATTAATTTTGAAACATCTTTACAAAATGTCATTCTTTAAAACTGTTTTTCTGTCTGTGTAGATGTTTATGTTTGATAGTCAAAAATCATCCTATTCAAATATCAGTTTAAATTGAATTTTCTAAATTAGTCTCATTTATTTATTCACTCAGTATTTCTTTTTCTCTAAAAATATGAATGTTTAAAAAAAAATATTGTGGTCTGTAAACTTTTGGACTTTTTATGTTCAATTACTTTTTACAAAATTATGGTTTGTAATGAAAATTATGATCATTTGAAATTAGATTTTTTTTTTCTCTTAATGTATTTTTGATATTTTGTTTTGAACTGTTGTAACTAAATTTAATATTTGAAAAAATATTGTAAACCAATTTTTTTCTTTTAAAAAGGGGGGAGGTGTAGTATGTGTACGCGCCAAACCTATATATTTGACGTTGCTGCGTAAACTGACTCACACACAATATACTCGCATCGTACAGTATAAACTACTTTCATTGACAACTCCCGGTCCCCACATTACACATTTTTGACTCAATTGAACTATGAAAATATGTGAATAATAATAAATCATAAAAAAATAAGAACTTACTTTTATTTTCAGACTCATCAGCAGTCTCAGCATCAAAACGTTGCAATAGAACTCTGATATCCTCATTTAGCAGATTCCAGTAGCGATTCACTACACAAAGAACCGCATCATCTTGTGTTTGCCGTTTTTCTAGCTGTTCTATTCGAGCCCGAAGCTCCGCTTCACATCTGTGGCGTTGTTCAATGCGCTACAAAAACAAAATTATTAGTAAAAATTCCTTGTCTCCAGTAAAAAACATTTAATTGTGAAACAACAAAAGAACATAAGTTTATTAAGATTGGAGTACAATCTTCATGAAAATAATTGAAATATTATGTTCAATGCTTATTGAGTTGACCTCAAACACTAAACAGTTGATGAACAGCTGATTGTTGTAGATGTTACATTATAGCAATCTATTTAACTAGTTACAAAAATCTTGTAAATAGATCATTCTTATTAGCAAACAATACCCAGTTGGTACATCACCTGTGCCAACTTCTTGTTCTGAAACTGTAGGACTTTGATGTCCATTTCTTCCAGTGTGGAGACGGGCCCGATGAGATGGGGTTCAAAATGAACTTTCTTGATAGCAGGCTGGCTACTGCCATTGCCGCTCTCGTCGGCTGTACGCTTCGACATTTTAACCTGAAAACATTTACTTTTATGTACTTAGAACAACAATAATTAGGCCTAAACACGAAAAGATGCTATTGATCCTAGACAACCCGAACAAATTAAAATGATATGAGGTGATAAAGGGAATCCTTGTAATCAACGCTCACACAATTTTGCCGAGTCCTACATACCTGCTTGTCAATATTGACAATCTGGAAAGCTGAATTTTAGTTCCAATTAACAATACCGCTGCAGATACAATGTAAGTAACTAAGTAAATCGATCATTTTGCTAATTATTTACATGAATCAAGCAAATTATTTCATAAAACAACCAGAATTTCGATTTCCCAAACCACCTTAGCTCCACCCTCCACAGATAAAAAATAATAGTAATAGTGTGGCAAGTATCGATATTTTTCTCCTGTTGATTCGATATCGATATTGGCGGAGAAAATAATACGTTATTAACTTATCGAGTGTTATTACTAAGCGTTGGAGAAACCAGCTAATGAAGGATCTAGAACAAAATTATTTAAAGTAATATAACTTGAACAATGTATCAATTTCCAGTATTGGCTCCGTGCACGATTACAGCGCCAACTAGCGTCCACAACTTTGTGGGTTCTGTCACATTGACATTCAGGTCGTATATTTGTGAAAAAATATCGAAATGAAAAAATAACAAATATTTTCAACTAATAAATTGTTGTGATACCACGATTTGGGTGGAAAAAAGGTTTTGAAATCATTTTGGTCATTCAAATCAAATGAGGTAAGTCCAAAAAGTGTGTTTAATTTTGATTGTGTCAGGGTTTGTTTACTTCATTTATAGTTGTAGTTTTACAGTAAAACAAAAAGAAAAAGCTACTTTAACGGTTTCATTATATAACAGTAAATATATTTAAATGTTTCTGTATCGCTAGTAATAAATTAAATATCGTTTTCAGATCGAAATGAGTATCGTTTTGAAGACCGGGTTTGTGAGAGTTACAATATCAAATTCCAACCACAAACCGTATTTAAAGGAAAGTTGTTGGTATTGGCTGGACAAGTCCGAGATGTAGAAGAATTAAGAACAAAACAAGGGCAGAGTTCAATAATTCACGCTCTCATCATAAGGCAAACATCTGTGCACAACAACTACCTACTGTGACTCATTTTTGTACTACCACGTTGTATAGTTTAGTTATTTCCAAATTGTAAACGGCTATTAAAACAGCCCTATCGAAATACAGTCCACTCTTTTATTTAAGTTCCCAGTAGGACCCTTTTCATGCGATTAATTAATGATATTAAAATGTATTATGTAGAATCGCTTTGCCATTGACAGATACATCTGATGACAGAGCTTACATTATTTCTACTTTTGACCACCATGAGCGCTGCGATAGATTATGGCCCCCCCACCTAGTACTTCGCACCCAGCGAATATATAAAAATTAAAACAGAGAATCAACTGCAAGAGCGCCATCTACATGATAGATCTTTTTATTTATTGATTTTAGTGTATTAATTTAGATATTTTTTAGCATTCTATGATGAAAAGTTGGCTGAAGCGACAGAAGGATGATGGCAGCTAGCTAGGCGGGCCTAAAACAAGCCCTACCACCAACCAGAGTAGAATATTTTGCCCCTTCTGAGAATCGAACCTGAGACCTTTGGGTACATCTGACTGGAGAAAGGAGGTCATCATCATACAAAATGTTACTATTATTTTTTCATGTAATTTTTTTCACTTGACAGTCAATGGTCAACAGGCAGAAGGCGTGGCCTTTACAAGTACCGCCTTTCTCAAAAGGCCACTTTTGCCTGTCTGTCCGGTCCGGAGTTTGGGGGAAACGGAAGCTACTACCCGTTCGCGCTAAGTTTGCCTGTCCGTGGAATGCGCGTCCCCTCCTCCAACCGCGATTAAACGCAATTTGTTAGTGATTAAACACAATAATTTTTATCAATATTAATAAATAAAAAATATTTTTAATACAGTTTGCTAAAGTTATAGACGCATTCCTTCGAGTGACGTCATATCGCCAGCGGCAAACTTATCGCGAACGGATAGTAAAATTATGTATAAATAAAATTAATCTTTCGGATATTTATTTAATAAAATAAAGTAATAATTTTCTAATAAAGGTAATATTATTAATGGAAGACATTATTACGAGTATTTCAACATAAAATAGTAAATTAGGAATAATAAAATAATTAATAATAAAAGAAAACATATTACTCAATATAATAAAACTTAATAAATCATACCTAAACTTGATGATTCATGAGTTCATAATATTTCTGTATTTTAATTGGTCCTGAAACATCCTTAGGAAGACCCTATATTTTTTATCATGATAGGGTTTCAGAGCAGGATTTGGAGAGATAACTTCAGCTGTACCACCCATGTTTTGAATAGCATCTTGGACGTTGTTAAAGTACTGCGAGGCACAAGCTCCTAGTATAGCTGAACCAACCAGCACAGATTCTTTTTCGTGCGGTTTCAAAATAGGTAATCCAACTGCATCTGCTTGAGTTTGCACAAAGAGAGGATCCTTTGTGATACCACCACATATTAATAGTGACTTAAATGCATCATAACCAGCCGACACTAAGGCGTCCATGATGTGTCTCGTGCCATACTGGAACGAAAAACACAATTTTAGTACCGTTTATGAAGTTCTAGGCCTTTCAATTATGAAACAAACTTGAAGGTATTAGAAAGCATCAACTCTGTTATCAATATTAGGTACACTTGACAACACTCACTCAACTCACTAATTACATTCTACAAATCCTGTGGAACTGGGACTGTTAAGGACGAAGCACACCTATCAACCCGGAAACGGATCGTAACCGTATCAACATGAGGCGGTCCATAACGTAAACGCCTCGCCTCGCGGCGAAAGGCGATAGGGTGTTGATCTATGTATTTAAAGTTTGATAAGTGTGCTGTGACCTTTATGCTTACCGACAAACCCTGCAATGTGGCTAGATACAATAATGCCAGATTCTCTTCACTACTATTAATAGTGAGTCCTATTACCATCCCCTTCATGGTAGGGTCAGCCAATGGTGATCTATTACCATGAAAATCAGGCCATACATGGAAATCTTTAGTCAACAAGCTCACATCTTTTAGTCCTTGGGCTTGTGCCATTTTCACAAGCAGCTTCCGTAAATGGCTGCGAACACTAAAAACATTGTAGTCATAGTTCAATTCTATTACTATTGTCGTTTACTGATGGATATTAAAATAGATATGTACTTACTCTCCAGTACTGTATTTCTTCAATAGCTCAATCCCAGCTGGGTGACTTGATATTATATAGTCTAGCAACATACCAGAAGCGCTTTGTCCGGCTTCATTAAGCCACATGTTCGGCACCATTGCACTGAAATAAGGACCCCAAATACCTTCAACCATCACAGCATTTTTATTCACAGCCATGTGACATGTGGAAGTGCCACATATCAAGCTCAGTCTACTGGACATGTCTTTGTCAATTCCTTCACCATTTGTGCCTATCATACCGAGACCACCAGCGTGAGCATCAATGATGGAAGCTGCTACAGGAGTGCCTGCACACAGCCCCAACACTTTAGCAACATCGTCTAACAGACCGCCACATTTTTCTCCTGGCATCAAGACCTTGTTTCCAAGTTTTTGGAAGTCATTATGTGCAAGGTCTTCTAATCCAATTTCACGCAGGTAACTCACATTCCATCCCTGTTTGCCATCTATAGAACATTCATAGTTCCATTTGCACACAAGAGAGCAAAGAGATCGAGTCATTGATCCCGTAGCTTTCCATGTCAGAAAGTCAGGTAAATCAAAGAAGTAGCCAAAATTTGACCATTTTTGAGGGAGATGTTTCTTCAACCACAGCAGCTTGGGTATTTCCATTTCTAAACTGACTTTACCTCCTACGTACTTGAGAATTTCATGATTGGCTTTATTTATCAAGTCTGCCTCTGCTTGAGCTCTGTGATCCATCCACATAATGATATTCTGCTCATTATTGTTTGAGTTACTTACTGCGATAGGGTTACAGTTTGTGTCCAAAGCCACCAAAGAACATGTAGCATCAAACCCAATACCTTTTATACTTTTTGGGTTCACATCAGCCACTACATCCTTAAAATAATATTCAATTTTAGTAATATTATCAAAGGAAAAAAACTATTTAACATTTTTTTTAAATTAAGAGACTTACTTTAATTACATGGATACAGCAGTTCCAAACATCTGTAGAGGACTGCTCATAGTAATCTGGTTTTGGTTTCCATGTTTGCAATTCTTTCACACTGGAGTTTATCACATGTCCCTTTTGATCTACAAGGGCAGCACGAACACTACCAGAGCCCACATCCACACCAACAAATAATATATCACTGGCCATGTCCGGTAAATAAGGCTGAAATTTTTTTTCATTATGTTTTTAAATTTGTAAAGTGTTAATCATAGTTGTGATAAATTATTAAATTGGAACATACTTACTTCGTCTGAATTGCAAATTTATATGTTTAGATAGCAGAGTTCTCCTCACTAATAAGCTAAGATATAAACACGGCAATAAAGTAATGACCTTGTTATTTGTTTCATTTATTAAACATAAGGCCGACAATCAGATATCTTGGAGCTACATCGCAACTCGCAAGTACTCGTGACTCTTGTGAGATAACCTCGTCGTCCTTTGAACTGGACTTTCATTTAATTTGAATTGTAAAGATATTGATCAACTTCGTGCAAAGGAACTTCCATAAAAGGCGATAGATAAGTTTCAATTCAAAATAATTATTACTAATTTATACTTAATTTAAGGATTTTCATAATTTATAATCATTCATTACTGTATGATTACTTTTCTTTGTTTATTTTTGAAGCAAAATAATTACCTACCTACTAGACTGGCTAAAATTGAACTAAAAAAATGACAGTTATTTAAATTTTCGCGCGGTTAAAGACATTTATTTTAACGATCGATCAAATTAACCTGTCTTCTTCTTCTTCATTTATTGATGGCGATGGACTTGTGTTTTTTCGCCACTGGGGGCACACTGTTCCGCCCACAGATATGGATTAGAGTAGATACAGCAAGTTGCTAGTCAAAGCGTGCCATTCCGATATGTCCAAATGGACATACATGGTCGAGTGATGTTCATGTAATCCGATTACAACAATCGGTTACGATAATTTTACGAGAACAGTAGTACGAACACGGTAGAAAGAAGAAATTATTTACGGATTGAGAATTGTAATTAACAGCAACGAGTAACAAATATGTAATTAATTAGAATAAAGTAGCAGTAGAAGAATTATAAAACAAGTTAGATCAGTGATCGCGGAAGACAGAGTGCACTGTACAACGTCGAAATATACAATTAATCAAGAAGTTAGGTCAGTGATCGCAGTATACACTATTACTAGTCTATGTATACGACGGCCGAGATTTTGCCGTTTAGAAATATCTTCAAAACTAGGTACCTGACTTAGCTTTATGAAAGAAAACGTATTGGCAAAACTACGCATTTTTACATTTATTAAAAATAAAAAGCTTGAGTAAAATAGTTTTTATTTTATGAAACTAGGTCATTTATAGCCTGACCAGGAACATAAAAACCCTCGCCATGTTGCGGAAAACTAATGGTACTAATTTCTTTTAATGGCAACAGTAACTGAAAACTTCATTGACATGTCACCTTGCATGTCAGTCTATTGTTGTCAAAGTGTAAACGAACTTTATTTTAAATGTGTGCAATTGATTTTGTGAATTNCAAATATTGTACTTCACTTCCTCAAAGTAGAGCACGGTGAATGAATGAAATAGTAAGGCCTCCGCAGTCTGTAGAGAAAGCGTGCAAAATCTGGCAACATTTATGGTACCAGATATAAAGCATTGATGTCTTTTTCGTGTCGCGTGGTTAAATATTCAAGAGTCAAGACTAATAATAATTCTGATGTGTTGACAAGACTCTTCTTCTTCTTCTTCTTCATTTATTGATGGCGATGGACTTGTGTTTTTTCGCCACTGGGGGCACACTGTTCCGCCAATGTCACGTGCGCAGCTTTTACACAATGTTAAAAATAAATATAAAAAATAATAATTCAACTGCAAAACTAAGCGGACTTATCGTACCTAAAACAAAAAAGACATCACACACAATCACAAAAAGACATCACAAAACAAACAATACACAAAAATTTTGTACAGCATGGATTGGGATAAGGGGATAAGGGAAAGGGTTGGGAAAAGCTTTTTGTGACACAAAAAAAAAAAAAGTCACNCTGTCCTGTTCAGGTCATACGTATATAGGCTGTAGAGCAGAGGGCTAAGCACTGAACCTTGCGGGAGACCTTTCCAAACCAAACGAGGGACAATAGAATCTTGACATCTCACTGCAATTGACCTAGACATCAATGAGTTACAGATGAGACGTACCAGTTTCTCCGGGATACTCAGATGAAGCAATTTTTGCCTGAGTAATGGGAGCAAAACATTGTCGTACGCAGAGGCAATGTCCAAAAAAACCCCAACTGTTGTCAAGATACTCAAACTATCTAGAGTGCTTAAACCTTTGCGGAAACCAAATTGGGATAAAGGAAGGATTTTGTTGGATTCCAAATGCCACTCCAGACGGTTTCTTATCATGTGTTCTAATATTTTCAGGAGAACGGAAGAAAGGGCTATAGGGCGGTAGGAGTTGGGATCTGAAGGATCTTTTCCTGGTTTGGGTATTGGAATGACAATCTGTTGCTTCCAAGCTTCCGGAAGAGAACCTTGATCCAGGAACGAGTTAACAATTTCAAGGAAGTATGACTTAGCTTTTTCTGGGGATTTCATTATAAAAGAGTAGGGGATACCATCTGTCCCAGGGGATGAATCCTTTAAACCATCTAAAGCTAACTTAAGTTCTTCAAAAGAAAAGGGCCTATCTAAATAATTTACATGGGGAAGGAAGCTACTGGGAGATGGAAAACTATCTATAAAGGGAACAAACGGAGGAGCCAATTTATCAGCGAAATCATTAAGCCAAGTAGAGGGGTCGTTTGACGGAGAATTTAATGGGATTAAAGATACACGGTAACGTTTTATTTGTTTCCACACTATAGAGGAAGGGGTCCTTGGGGACATGTCCTCACAGAACCCAATCCACCCTTTTTTCTTCTTTTTAGCCAGGAATTTCCTAGTTTGGGCAGCCGTTTTTTGGTATCCAATGTAATTCTCCATAGTCATTGAACGATTGTACCTTTTTTCAGCTTCTTTTCGTTTTTTGACACTGGCAGTACAATCAGCGTCCCACCAAGAGGGAGAAATCTTATGAGACGGGTTTTTCAAAGGGATGTGCTCGTTTGCAGATGATTCTAAGATGTTTGCGAAATCAGGATAGACAGAAAGGGCATTTTCATTAGTGATGTTGGGAAGGTCGATAAGTTTTTCGTTGACTGACCTATAAAAACCTGGCCAGTCAGCGTTATTTAATTTGTATTTTATAAGAGGGGGGAGTCGGCTAGTTGAAGTGTTATTATCGGGAAGCGAAATTAAAATAGGGAAATGGTCGCTACCACGAAAGGAGCGAAGATAAATTTGGGGAACAAAAAGAAACATCTACGGCGGAAGCTGGATTTTGATTAGGAGCACACCTTCTGGTTGGACAGCCATTGTTCAAAATACAAAGATCTAAATCATCCAAAAGGTCCAATAGTAATGATCCAGAAGAGTCGGAGTGATACGCGCCCCACGAGACATGGTGAGCATTAAGGTCGCCCATAATCAGGACAGGAGGAGGAAGGGATAAAATGGCAGAGCGCAATTCATTAATGGAGGAAGAGTTAGGACGGGGAATATAAACGGATAGGAAGGATATGTCAAATACTCGCACGGCCACGACATTAATATCTTGGCTATGCGAGGGGAGGGGAAGTTGGCTATAGCGGAGAAAGCGCCTTACAAGTAAGGCACTGCCCGCGTAACCATCACTTCTATCATCCCGGAGGCATGAATAGCCTGATACACGGAAGTGTGAACCAGGCACCAACCATGTCTCCGAGACGGCTAGAACCGATGGAGAGAATTTATTTAATAAAAAGATTAATTCGTGCTTTTTACGTCTAATGCTTTGGCAGTTCCATTGAACTACCTTTTTGTCCATTATTAATATCAGTTAATTGCGAGATTGCGAGANTCCTGTTTTTTTAGGTTTCTTTACATGGAAAGTTCTTGAGAATGTACAGGAATAATGGTCCATGTAACCGCATTTTTGTGTATTAAAACATATGGGATTCAACTTACAGATTGGGCAGGGCTCAGGATAAACCTTAATTATTTGACTACCCCGACCTTGATTACCCCGACTTTTGTCACCGAGTAATCAATAATACTGTAATTTTACTAATGAATGATTAACTAAATAACGTTTAATAAGCAAAATTACCCTTTACTAAAATGAAATCCTATCTTCTTGGTGATGCGAGGGGTTTGTTACGTATTTGTTTTAAGAGAAATTAAATAGAAAATGCGATGCGGGAATAGAATAACTGTGTGAGTTGCCGAGGAAGGAGTTTACCCGATATATTGGGATTATGTGAGACTCATGCACTGACCTGGTAACAGCGACACCGGGCTCCCTTTCCCAGTTCCAGCACTCCTCGTGGCAATCCAATATCAGAGGGCGTCGTTCGAACAGCGAAAAACACTGCACTTCGCACAAAATCACCAAACGATAAAATAAAATAGTTTTTTGTAGCGGCGTAGATGCACACGTGAAAAATGGAGTATGGGCAACGGGCAACTGTCTTTTTTCTTTCAAATGTTTGATAGGCGGCACAACAGTTTACGCCGCGGAGAAATAGATGGCGTTAGACGCCAAGGAACTTTGGCGAATGGTCGGGAAGATGCACGCATGTATACCAACAGTAGAACATGAGAACTCTTTGTTGCCAACATAAGCGCGCAAACATCCCCCCCGGCTTGAAAATACTAGGGATTTTCAAAGAATATGATGCAGAATTACTAAAATAAAGTTAAGATCAAGATTTAAATGTGACGGAATATAATACTGGTTTTGGAGGGCAATTAAAGCAAAATATATAAATATAAGACAAAAATGTGGTATGTATAAAATATGATATAAATATGAGGTTGTATGCGATTATAACTGTGTTTGCTATTGAGTAGGAAGTGGGCATAATTTAACAACAGGACGCTTATAAGTTCCAGTTGTTGTTCTTACTGAAGCGACGCGAATAATCCCATCCTTACCAGGATATACTTGTTCTATTATGCCAGTGGGCCAACGAAGAGGTGGTGTATCATCATGATGTATGAGAACAAGAGTCCCAGGACTGACTGGAACAGCAGGTGTATTCCATTTCTGTCTTACTTGTAAAGTATGCATTTAATGTTAGAGGGACGGGGGAAAGCTTTAGGGAGAAAATCGTACAGTGAGGATCCAATTTTGGGACAGTTAAAAAAGATGTGGTTGGTTGTTCCTTCATCCAGGCCGCACTCGCAGATGGAGCTATCTTTAATGCGCATTTTCGCAAGGTGGACAGGGGTGCACGCATGACCAAGACGCAGGCGACATATGACGGAGACAGTTCTTTTAGGTAAGTTCTGTTGTTTAAAAAACCAGGGTCTTGAAGGAATATCCTTCTGTACATCCGCGTAATATTTGCCAACCATTCTTTTGGAGTTTTGCCAATGGGTGTTCCACGACTTGTACAAGTGGTTACGTGGGAGAGAGGAGGCATCATGGGCAAATAACTTATAGTGTTCAAGCGAGCCAGTTGTTGTAGCAAGTTTAGCGCAAGAATCAACCGTTTCGTTGCCTGGGATACCTCG